TTTGGGTCATCAAGGTTAAGTGCTATGAATATTATTTTGATATTCGAGAAAATAAAATTCTGCCAAGTAAATGACACTTCGATTAAAAGATTTTTTTTTATATAACGGTTTGCAATGAAATTAAAAACTAAGGTTTTAGTAAATTTCAAATTGACTTTATAGCCACTAAAATTGTAATAAGATATAGCTTGCGATTTATAAATGTACGAGTAATAAAGGAGTTGCAAATACTTATAACAAAAAAAAATAAAACATAACAAAAACATTTACGCTAATCACTGAAAGGTTTCTTTTTAATAGTGAAAGAATTTTTAAATAGGCCCAGAAGTTTTCGAGTTATTCTAATACATACGAAAATACAAATCTTTTCTCTTTATAATCTTACTAATATTATAAATGCGAAAGTTTAGATGGATGGACGGATGTTTGTTAGCTTTTGTAGCCTAAACGGCTGAACGGATCTCCATGAAATTTGGCACAGGTTTAGAGTTTAGTCTGGAAGAACACATAGGCTACTTTTTATCCCTGGAATAATTACGGTTCCCGTGGGATTCATTAATTTAGTTTTTTAATGTTTACTCGATCATTCTGCAACGGTTCAACATATCTTATTGAAATTTGGCACAGATAGTACAAAGTCTGGAGTACACATGCGATAAGCTTCATCCCCGAGAAATGTCCGGTTCCCGAGGGATACGTAGCTTTTTGTAATTTTTATAGTTTGTATGTTTTCTAATACCACGCGTACGAAGTCGTGGGCAACAGCTCGTTTTAGTATAGATTAACAAGTCACTATTTCTTTAGGATCATAAAATCTCCGTTTATTTCTTTTCTTTTTCTTTCTTGAAAATTATTAACTTAAAGTTACATTAATTAATTATTAAAGTTACATTAGTGCGTCGATAACACACCAAATTACTATTTGAGACCAGTAAAGGACTTGTTCGTTTTTTGTGTGTGTTCGTTGGCGGCGCGAGGCCTGATTTATAAAGCGCTTATCGCACAACTGAATTTATTTGTCTGCTCGCTGCGGCCCACCGATGCTGTTTGCTGCGAGACTTAAGAATTATTAGACACGACGTACTATAAAATAAAGAATATTAAAGCATTTTATAGAAGCGAAATTTTGTATTGAATTTTCACAAATATGAATGTTACATAACATAACTATAGATTTGATTGTTAAAATTATTGTCTTTGATAAAAAAATAAAAGTATATTTTGATGCAGATATTTCAGCAATGGAAATCTGCCTTAAAACTTCTTTAAATATGTTATAAGTATGAAAATGTCTTGATTAACTATACCTATAACTACTAATGTTATAAAAAGAAATTATTTGCATGTATTGAAATAACTCAAAAATTACTGTGCCTAATATAATTTTTAAAATTCCTTTCATCATTAAAAAGCTACGTTATGAAGAAGTAACATAGGTTATATATTTTTTTTTAATTCACACGGGTGAAGTCATTTAGTTAGTAATCAAATAAAACCTTTCAATTAACCATTAAATACCAATAAATTCCTTTATTTTTGTACAAGTCTAAACATTATCTATGTCTGTTAGGCAGTTGTCTCGGGCGTTGGTAATTGTGCAAATTATAAATATGCGAGCGGGCGACGGAGTGGGGGGTCGTGGGTTCGCACCCGACCGCTATATTATTTAATACACCCTGTATCTAAATAAGCTTATCATGCGGAATACTTAGCTAGTATTTCTTATAACCACCGTAACAATTCGGTTTAAATCGTATCAACACCCTATATAAACATTGTTAAGAAGCGTTAAAACTTAATGTCTATTGAATTTCAAGTTTTTTTTATTTATTTTTAAAAATTTAAGGACATATTTGTCTATGTTAAAGAATGTGTTCAATGTATAAAAGCTCATATTGACAAACATTACTAACATTTGCCCGCGATTCCGTCCGAATTTAAAAATAACAAAAGAAAGTAGCCTATGTGTTTTTCACACTATCTACTACATCTATGCCAAATTTCATCGAGAACCGTTCAGTAGTTTAGGTTACAAGGTCTAATAAACATCCATCTAAACTTTCGCATTTATAATACTAGCTTTCGCCCGCGACTTCGGCCGCGTGGAATTAAAAAAAAAACACATAGGCTATGTGTTCTTCCAGACTATTTTCTACATCTATGCCAAATTGCATCGAAATCCCTTCAGCCGTTTAGGCTACAAACTCTAAAAAACATCCATCCATCCATCCAAACTTTCACATTTATAATATTAGTTAGATTAGTAAGATTTGTATTATATATCTAGTTCGAGTAAATCGGCTTAACAAATTAGCATGTGTATTCCGAAATGGTCGTCAGCCCCTTGCATTGTCCCCATCTTGTTATATTATTCAGAAACATCTTGCCAATGCCCGCGCTTTGGCATACAAACAATAAGTTCCCTTGTTTATTATTGCCTTACATGAATATTTCTTAAGACAACGTTATTACGCTTTTAGGGGAAGAAAGTTTGTAATATTGATAATTCAGGAAGTTAAAATTAATCAATTTTTGGCTTTTACATTTTTAAGGTTATTAAAAATGTAAAAAAATATTTTTTTATTAAATTAGTGAAAAAATGAAAACTAGTACCATCTTGTTTTTATGACTTACTAGCTGTTGCTCGCTACTCCGTCCTCGTGGAATTAAAAAAATAAAAATGAGTAGCCTATGTGTTCTTCCAGCCTATCCTCTACATTTTTACCAAATTTAACCGAAATCCGTTCCGCCGTTTAGGCTACGAACTCTAACAAACATCCATCCATCCATCCCTCCAATAAACTTTCGCATTTATAATATTAGTTAGATTTATTAATACTTTAACACAAAATATACAATTTGTTACAGAGCTTACATTTTTACGTTGTTACTTTCTTTATGTTACATCTTGCTTCGCCTTTTTCTTCTCAAATCATTTTTTTTTGCATTTCCCTTTTTGTATTTGTCGGTGGCCAGTGTTAACATCAATATAGACTGACCAACAGATACATTTAATTAGTTATTTTGTACATTCACTTAAAAACTTTAAATAGATAGTGTAAGTATTAGTTTAGGGCGCATTTAGGAGTCCCAGGAGGGGTGCCATAAGTCAACAATCACAAAATCTCACTTGGCCTTTTACCCTCCCCCATAAATCTGTTACAAAAGAGAACACACTATTCCTTACTCTCTGCACCATTTCCTCCTGAGGAAGGCTTCACTTCTTGACCATCTGTAAGGGAGTGATTTTATTGCATAGCGTACTATTCAGCACAGTATGTCCCCTTCCATACATCTCTATCAAATGTCTTATCTAAATCGACTCTAAGGAATTATCCTGCATACAATTTATTCATTTATATGTTGTTTGAAAATAAAATGCATACCGTTTTCTATTTTCTTTAATAACAAACAAAATTAAGCACAAAAACTGTGAATACCAGCTGCCGAAATTAAAACATTTAGGTTGAAAAAAACTAGAGTCTGCGGCCGGCGCGGCGTACATACTGAGAACAGGTTACGTCGACGCTTTTAAGAATTCTCATTTATTTTAAAATGTAAATACTGGGAGAAATTTGTAAATACTTTTATATTTTTTTTATAAAATAACAGACTATCCATAGGTCAAAAATACTTGTAAACCGTTAAGTGTTTCTACCACTGGAAGAAAGCTGATCCCAATCCGAAGTAGGCATGAATTGCAAGATTTAAAAAATAATCGTATACAACAGTGTCATATTGCGACTAAACAATACTAACCAACAAACAGTATAGTTTGAAGAAACTTTACTCGTTAAAACAGTACTTGCGGTAATTTATAGGATTTTAACAAAATTAAATTAAGATTAATTGCATATAAAACGGTTGACGACCCCGCTTTAGTTTCAGACTCGGTCAATACGTGCAGTTATTGCTCTCGACAAATAGGAAAGCGCCTGACGCTTTAAGTTATAGATGCCCTTGCGGATTATTGCATGTTCACTTTTCACAGGCGCTTAACTTTCAACCGTGTTTTTCCAATTTCTCCTTATACAAAACGACTAGAGATTTCAAATGTTTATATTAGTTTGTTTAACTTTTACTAAACTTCGAAATGCATTACAGTACAACCGGGGGCACAAATGAAAAGCAATTATACGCTAAACGTTGTCTCTGCGGCGCTTTGAACATATACAGACCTAGGTACGTAGGCATTTAACATTTGAACCCCGAAACTAAAAACTAACGGCGGCCGTTACGTAACTTTCTGGGCGGGAGCTGACTGCAATAGACACCGAACTGGGAGCTACGAATTAAACAGAGAAGGCATCTAGTATTGAATCGCTTGAAAAGAAATCCCAAAATTATTATTAAAAGCTTAAGCGACATGATTCGTCGAATCTATAATTTAATCCACCTTATTTTAAAAACGCTATTTAAATAATAGTTTTAGGCAGTTCATTTGCTGTTCCCGAATTTTCTACTCATAAAATGTATTTCTACTTATTTTATACATGTAATTCCCAAAATAATTAACAGTAGTTTTTAGATTGCTATACGTCAGTTTCCGTCTCCTTTGCCTGCTCATCCAAAAAAAAAATAGTTTCGTATCTCTGTTACAAAACTGATTCGTCTCGCGCCATATCGCGACGTTTTTCCCGCGCTAATTGCCGCTCCGTTACGAGCGCAGCGCGACAGCGGGCGGCTTGCGATTGCCGTTCTGCCACGAGCCTTTTTACTGTGCGCAATTGAACACGCTAATCTGGCCTCATGTGCAACAAAACATACTTACACCGCTTATAAGACTATTTCGTTTAAATGCTGTACAATATTTAACAAATTAAACGAAAAAGTAGTATGAAGATGGCTATTTTATACAACCACTGTCGCTGTTTTACTGTATTAGTAGATTTTGGTAGAAAGCCATTTGATTATGATAGAAAATTACGAAATAAAATATGCAGTTGGGAGCTCAACCAAAATAATGTTAATTACTGAGGTTTCGAAATAAAACAATCGGATACAATTTTTAACATATTTATTTATTGACCCTTATTCTTACGTTTTCCTCTTAACTTAATAACACTATTTGAATCATCATTTAATTGTTGGAAGAAAGCTTTGGATGTTTTAATTGATTTATCATTACTTTCTACACCCTTCTTTGTGTTTCTATTTTCCGTTACCTTTGTTACATTACCCTTGAGATGTTGCAACTTCTTCTTCTTCCTTCTTTCTCTCTTCTTGTCAGTTTGTGTTCTCTCATCTTTACTTAATAAATCTCCTTTGAGTTTCTTCTTTACTTCTTCAGGTGCGAGTAACGCTGCTTCACTTGTTGCTACCGGTGCCACTTCCTCCATAGAAATTGCCGGAGTGTTAGAAACAATTTTCACTTCAGCTTGAGGAGGTTTCGGTGTATAATGATAATTGCATAAGGCATCTAATTTAGAAAACAACTTTTCCATAGAATCCCTCAATTCTTTATGTTCTTGAGGTTCATTCTCTTCTTCAGGTTCCCCATGCTTCTGTTTTAAATACTCAGCTTCATAGACTTGAGCTAAACTTAATTTGCTCTTAGCATGATCTAAAACTTCAGGTTTACGGAACGCAAGTTGATCGTCAACCGGTTTTTCCTTCCTCTCAACGTCATCCCATGCTTTATCCTTCACTCTGCGTTGTATTATCTCTTCTAGTGTTATTGTCGTTTGTTCTGTTATGATCGGAGGTGGCCTGGTAGTCAAATCAAAGTCAACAACCTCTTCAAGTAATGAATTCTGTGGTCGTTTAGATGCGTCAACTTCTCCCTTCAATTGCCATGGTGCTTCTTTTAATGTTTTCTCTTCTAATCTTGAAATTTGTTGCTGCAAGCGTTGCTGACGTTTTTCGAATTCTGATTTATTTTCTTCTGTGTCTAGTTTATTTTTCGATTTGTCATTTGTTTGATTTTCTGTTTCACTTTCATCTGAACTGTTTAATTCCGGTTGATCAGCAAATCTGACCTTTTTATCACCTGTTTTGGGTGTTTCTTCTCCCATTTCTAAATCATCTTCCTCCATTACATCTGAAAATTCTTCTTCATCTTCATTATTGTTATAATTTTGCTCATCATTTTTGTCTTCACCATCATCAAAGAAATCAGAGTACTTTACATCATTTTCTTTTCTTTCATCACCTGAATCATCTTCAATATCATCGAAGAAATCAATAGATTCCTCATCACTATCCTTTTTTTTACCATCATCTCTTTCCTCTTTTAACAAGAACTTCTCCATATCTTTCAATTTAAAGAAATCATCATCAACAATTGATTCTTTAGTTTTTGACTGCTTTTTAACTTCTTTTTGTTTTTTAATCTTTGAAGTTTTATTGGCTTTCAATTTTGATTTTTTCTTAGGAATTGTATTGTTGTCTAATTGAGAGTTTAACTCATCAGGGTCCATTTGGTTGGCTATAGTAACAGGGAATGTGAGATCTGTTTTATTCGACACGCAATTAGCAACCTCCCATACCAGTTGGTCCCAACATTGCGAGTTTTGTAGTTCCACTTGCTGCCATATTTGTTCTTCATCAAAATCATCGACCAGTAAATGAGGTAAAGCATTATTCTTCTTTTTTCCACCTTCATCTTGAGACTTTGTAAAATCGTAAAGCGTTTTAATCAAGTTTTTAACGTCGTTTTTCACATCGTCTTGGACTGCTAAGTATTTAACAGGTTTCGCAGTGAGCACATTAAACTTGTCAATTATTTCTTCCATTTCTATTGTTGTCTGTTTTAAATATTAATTAAAGTAGTAATTTCAGTCATGAAAATAAAATAAAAATTTGACCACATGCGGTCCTCACATTTGTTTGACAGTTGACAGTTTTTTGACATTAACATTGTTTTGCTGTCATTGGTGTCAAAAAGTTCAGAAATTTAAAACAGGAAAAACCTCGCTGCATTCCATTTTTCACATATCAAAAAATGACCACAATTTTTAGAATTAATTGGCCAAGCTTTAATTGAATAAAATAATTATATGGCTATTAATACCTGTAAGAAATTTATTTTATTGTTTGATCATTCTTAGACAACATGTGATGAATTTATGATTCATTCATTCAAAGAAATTGTCCAATATTGTCTGCATTCTCTTCAACAAAATCATTCAATCAATCACTGCCATGTATTTTGCGTGTTTATTTTTGTAATTAAAACTTTTATAAATTCCTAAGGACTATTTAACTAACTATGATTACTTTATTAAGTAATTTCTATTCGTGACTTTAAAATATTAAGTGTTGTACGTTTATTGAAACCAGTGAAAAGGTAAGGTAACTGTTTTGTGTAGCTAAAAACATAGTTCTTGCGATTTTCCACACGAATGATCTCATGGTCTTACTTTTTCTTGCGAAAGTTACACCTATTTGTTCCACCCACGTTAAGAACATGCCACAAATGCCATGGATGTATGGCGACAAAAAGTGAAAGGCAAGGAAGTGGTTAATTTTTATTACTGACATATATTAAGTTGACATTCAACACATAAATGTAACTTTTGTAAAAATCACAAGGTTTTAAAGTCAATGTAACATTTTCATCTATAATATTAATACTATGCTATATTTTAAGATAAGTTGATATCAGTTAATTACTTTGTGTTACCTTCTCATGTAGAAAATAGTGTAAAATGCCTTTTGGTGTGTGCAATACACATTATATCCTCCATGGGTAACTTAATCTTGTTGACCTGTAGATCAGATCATTCACAAAGGTGAAATGGATCAGTAAACTGATTTGCGGGCTCAGTTCATCTGTACCTGTATTGATTTGCATGATTTACAACTCACTGACATGTTTATTTACTTAGTTATTGTACACCACATTTAACTGGAAGTTTATTATTTAGTTATTAAGGCGCAGCTCAATATTTCAAGACTGCAAGCTCTGTTGGAGATTCAGAGGTATTTTGTTTTTATTTATTCAATGTATTATCTATGTTACAGATATAATGGATGCACAAGACCAATTGGAGCTGAAGTATAGTGCAGGAGGAGAGGTTGGAGGGTTGGAGTTGTGTATAGTCTGCGGTGACAGAGCTTCTGGGAGACATTATGGTGCTATAAGCTGTGAAGGTTAGATCTTAAAATTTTTGCATTTATTAAATTAAAAAAGACAGTTTTTGGAAGCAAAAAATGTCAAAGTCACACAGTAAATTACTCTAGGTGTTTTCGAGCCTATTTTTAATTGTTTTAAGAAATGAAAGACTTATTACATATTGACTATGTGTTTATATTTGCATTTTATGATCTATTAGGTACACATTTATGACTTCTGACTTGTAAGTTCTCTTCTAAAGAAAATAATCATAGTCAAGTAAAGATAACCCCCGGTGTTCCACTTACAAAAAATACCTTGATCCTTTCAATGAAACAAACTTCCCCTCTTAAATAACCAATTAGGTAGTAGCGACTCTCAAACAACGAGTTAGTAATTTAAAACAAATAGAAGTGTATCACTGACAGATATTTACTCATTTAAAAGCTGCTATTGGTTGAAGTTTGTAATGCATATAAAACATTCAAACTAGTTTATTATAAAGAACACCGCCAGATATCCTGACTGTACATGGGAAGTGTTAAGAAAAACCTATACGTCATTTCCAGGTTGCAAAGGCTTCTTTAAGCGTTCTATCCGCAAGAAGCTAGGCTACCAATGCCGAGGCAGTATGAACTGTGAGGTGACCAAGCATCACCGCAATCGCTGCCAATACTGTCGCCTACAGAAGTGTCTAGCGTGCGGCATGCGCAGTGACTGTGAGTACCAAAGTGTTTTACTTGATTCTCTTAAAGGTCAAAATTTTGGACACAGGTACAACAAATTTAGGATAGTAGTAATAGTAGGAGCTACAGTTTCCGCAACTCCACGGCTAGCGCGTATTTTGCGTGAGGAATAGAATGTGGATTACTCCAGCCAACCTAGCTTTCCGAAGAACCCCAACAAACCTTTTATGTTGCTGGTGATCTCTGGGAGTGGTCTCAGCCAACCGAGATACCTAACACTGTATTCAGTCACTGTTGGGCAGTGTGTTGGCAAATTTATGGTATAAAACAATATATTTCAGTTCTTTTTTAGTTTTTATCCTGAATTTTATCTGCAATATGATTTCACATAGAATATGTGCGTGAAGGGAAAGTCAATCTGCATAGAATCTTAAAAGTATACTGTTGCTCACGAGTTCGTCCGCGTAAAATTAAAGTAAATAATATACCTTGTGTTACTCACAGATAAATTATCTTTGTAACGGTAAAAGAATTTGTTTAATCGGCCCAGTAGTTTGTGAGTGATTTCAATACATACAAAAAAACAAATCTTTCCTCTTTATAATATTAGTAACGAAGGGTAGATGGTAACGAAGGCCTAATTCAGGTTTCCTTTACTTGTATAAGTAAAGTTCATTTGAGTGAAACTGCATAGAGGGGGATATCCTCTTTAAGAATCCCTGGGAACAACCTTAATATGGATAAATATATTTTTATGGGCAGTAATTCTTGCACTATGTCGACAGCGGTCCAACACGAGAGGAAGCCGATAGTGGACAAGGCTAAGGGCGAAGCCCGAGAGGCGCTGCACGACCGCCCCGCTGCTGTCTACTCCAAGTTGCTAGGGCTCGCCGGACAAGCACAGACCGGACAGGTAACTGAACAATACAAGCATTTAGTTTGTTGTCTATAGGCTATAGTATTTTCTTAGTTATCTATGGGTAGTGGTATTCTTGTTGTGTATGAGTAGCGGCTACTTGGTTTTAGATATACCAATGGAATACTTAGCTTCATTCGCATGGGCGTTATTATAACGCGCGTTAAAAATGCGTTGGAAAAATTAAATGCATTTCCATGTTCCAACTGCACCGTTTTTAAAACGCAATTTTCATCGCTCAGTGTTTTTGAGCGTTGCTCGATCGGAGCATGAGTAGATTTTTCGTGCTTCTGAACACAATCTTACTAATATTATAAATGCGAAAGTTTACATGGATGGATGGACGTTTATAAGTTTGGAGCTTAAATTAATGGATCTTGATGAATTTTGGCTCAGATGTACAGGATAGTCTAAAAGACCACAAAGGTTACTTACTTTTTTTTAATTCCACGCGAACGGAATCGAAAGCGATAGCTATATTAATATTAAAGTAATAACAATATTTCAGATAAACCCAAAAGAGGAACCGATGGAATTAGGCGGGGGCTCGCCAGCGCCGGCGCTGAACTTCGCGCTGGCGGCGGCGGTGGCCTTCAACAAGAGTGCTCCGGCGCCCTACCTGCCGGCAGAGGACGCTCGCCGCCAGCTGCTGCTGCAGACACACCTCGCTAAGAACCTCTTCAAGATGGGACAGTTCGGTAAGAACGTCAGTACCACAACCACACAAAAATTAAAAAAAAATGGGACCCACCTGCAAGTACCTTTCGGATAAGATAATTTTCAAAATCGGTCCACCCGTATACGACATACCGCGTAACACAAAAAATATAAAAAAACCGAACGAATTGAGTACCTCCTTCTTTTGGGAAGTCAGTCAAAAACATGTCAATTGGAAAACAACAAGAGTACTCTTTGATAAGAATACGTGCTGTAGATTACCTTTAAATAGGGTTTTTGGTAGCAAAAAAAAATGACGTTACCAACACTAAAATCGAAATTAACTTATTTAGTAGATTTTTTTTATTGTTTCGTCATACTCGACACTATTATTAATGGTTCAGTCTTTACACTCTTTTATCTAAGAAAATTATAGGAACGTTATGTATTCTATGCAAGTACAGTCGGGGAATTTAACTGTATTCCATCTTAATAGTCGTTTTTATTATATATATTTCTTATCTTAAAATCTCTCCATACTACTGGCGTAGGTTCTTGAGCCAGGACGTTATACTTCAACCTATACTTCGCTTTCCGTGGATCTTGTGTGTTTACATATATTTGCATGATAAACTGTATCTTCTAATTCTGTACCAATCTGTATTTTGAATTAACGTAGTTTTAGTTTCTATTTCTTTAATATTTTATTATTGACCGCATCTGCAGAGGTGAAGCCCTTCACCTCCGTATCCGCGCGCTTCCGTTAAAATGGTCTCCGCTACAACCCTAATTTGAAGTTTGATACAAGGAATAAGGCAAATTTTGTAACTTGAACACCGCGTATTCCCTCGATTGTACGTATTAAGCTGTTTTTCGATCTGTTTCATAAGTAAACTGTGACCGTGTTATTAGGGATATGTTATAAGGGATGCGGCGAGGAGGGGACGAAATAAAAACACTGGGTTTCACAAACAACGGGTGCACAGTACGTTCGCCGGTTGATGTACAAGTTATATGCCGACTACCCTCAAATTTCATTTTATTCTACTTAAAAACTACCAACTGTTTTTACATGTACCTTGGTAGAAATTAGTTTATATTTAACAAAAATAATTATACAAAAATCATACAAAAATACCATAAAACAGTGGTAGTGCCCGCTTTAACATCTTAGCAGTGCAGGGCCGGCACGCCCCCAGTAATACCACAACCACACAGAAGACAGGCGTCAAATGGAAGCAATTCCGTGTTTCGTCTGATGAGTGTGGTGCCGGAGGCCTAATTTAAGTCCCTTTCTCTTTACCACCCTTTTCTTATAAGGATAGGATGGGAAGAGGAAGTGGATTTAACGGAGGAGGAGATACATAGGAAGGGGAGATATCCTCTTTATGTGCGTCTCCTCCTCCGTCGGATAAGGGTAGGCAACGCATCTGCAATTGCGGATGTCTATGGGCAGCGGTCGCTTCGCCATTTTGGCGGATTCAGGTGACCTCGTTTGCCACCTTATGTTATAAAAAAAAAAAGGCTTTTAAAATTCTATCGTCAACGTATGTATTGGGTTTTTATTTGTGTTTAGGAGCGATAAATGAATATTTGCAGTCAGCGTATGGCGCCACGCCCGACACCCCGCTTGTAACTGACACACAGCAATCCGAAGGTAAAACCTTGTTTAAGTCTAATAACGAAATTAAATAAATATTGTACTCTTTCTGCTGTTTTCTATTTTTGTTTATTATAAAAATAATGTTTTGGTTATGTGTGAAAATGAAAACTCTGTATTGCTTAACTATGGTGAATTTTAATTTCTTTTAGCAGGATGTAGTTTATTTATTTGAGTTTACAAATATTAATGTATGTTATATATTTATATTATCTGTAATCTATACTTCTATACTATTATAATAAAGCGTAAACACACACTTCTTTGTTGCCTAATATGTCAGCAATTACAGCATATTTTTGAATAATTCTTTTTTTAATAAAAAGCCCTACACTTACGTCACGCTTTAGGCTATTTATTTTCACGCCAATAAACTTAGGGGGTAAATATTTTAATAATTCCATGCGGATGGAGCTGCACGAGAACAGCTAATAATATTATAAAGGGGAAAACTTTGATTGTAATGGAATAACTCAAAAACTACTGGGCCGATTTCAAAATTTCCTTCGTTATTGAAAAGCTACGTTGTTAGTGAGTATAGGCTATATTTTATATTATTTTTTAATTTCACGCAGACGGGGTCGCGGGCGAGAGTTAGTATTTCAATATATTAATGTAATATTTTAAAAATGCTTTATATATGTCGATATTATTAATTTTGTCGATTCGTGTGTCCAAGTCATATTTATTCTCGGTAATATCCGAAGCCAATTTGACTGGATTTGTACAATAGTGCGATTGTTTATTTAAAGGTGTGCGCCCGTACAAACATCTTTCCATATAAACTTTTGCTTATAATATAAGTTTGCTAATGTTTTGTTTGCTTTTAAATCGTATGTAACAAGGAGAACGTTAGTTATGAGTGTGGTACACCGGTAGAGGCATAGAAAGAGATGGATTGCGTAAAAGGTGACATGATCAAGGGAGTGATGACAGATGACGTATGATAGAGTTATTTGGAGGACAAAAACCTGTTGTGCCTACGGGAGTGGGATAAGAAGGAAGATGAGGAACGACCAAGTGTATAAACAAGAGCATATGTATCCAGGTGTGGAAGCAGGTATCCTGAGCACAGCGGAGTCCCAGCGGCTGTCGCTGTCGCTGCCGGCCGGCGCCCCGCCGCCGCTGCGCCTGCACGCGGCCTGCGAGGCTGGCGCGCGGCTGCTGCACGCACTGGCGCGCTGGACTCTCGCCGTGCCAGTCGCTGCCGCACTGCCGTCAGTATACACTTAGACTTATAATACAATTGGACTGTCTGTAATTCCAGATTACGGGAAGATGATGTATTGCGTTACTGATAACGACAATCGCATTTTTTGTCTGTCTGTCTGTTTGTATGCGAGCCGCGTTTGTTCCGGGTAATCTCCGAAACGGCTAGGCCGATTTCGACCGGACTTTCACTAAAGGATAGCTGACATATACGGGCATGTTATAGGCTACTTTTTATCTTAATATTACGTAGACGAAGTCGCGGGCAATAGCCAGTCATATTATAAATTATCTGTCCAACTGTGGCTTCATCCGCGTGGAGTTAAAAAAACAAAAGTTACCCTGTGTGTTCTTCCAGACTATCCTCTACATCTATGCCGAATTAGATCGGGATCAGTTCAGCAGTTTAGGCTACAAACTCGTAACAAACATCCATCCATCAATACATTAAAACTTTCGAATTTAATTAAAACAGCTAGTATATTAAAATACGAAAGTTTTTGTAGGTTTGAATTTACCTTGCAAACTGCTGAACGGATCTCGATGAAATTTGGCATAGATGTAGAGTATACTTAGGAAGAACACATAAGCTACTTACTTTTGTATTTTTTACTCTTTTAGTCAATATATTTACGCAACTATAATAATTGCAGAATACCTCATTACTTTTACTAATTGACTACAGATTCGAGATCCAAGCGACATTACTTCGCAAATGTTGGTCCGAGTTATTCGTGCTGGGTCTGTCGCGGTGCAGCGGCGCGCTGCAGCTGCCCACTCTGCTGCCGCACCTCGCCGCGCACCTGCAGCGGGAGCTGCGCGCGCGTAGGGACAACCAGCACCTGCACCATGCGAGGGACGCACGCGCTGAGGTAACATGCACCTACTGAGTTAACATGCACCTACTGAGTTAACACGAATCTACTGAGTTAACATGCACTTAGTAAGTTAACACGAACCTACTGAGTTAACAAGCACTTAGTGAGTTAACACGAACCTACTGAGTTAACAAGCACTTAGTAAGTTAACACGAACCTACTGAGTTAACAAGCACTTAGTGAGTTAACACGAACCTACTGAGTTAACATGCATCTAGTGAGTTAACACGAACCTACTGAATTAACATGCACTTAGTGAGTTAACACGAAACCTACTGAGTTAACATGCATCTAGTGAGTTAACACGAACCTACTGAGTTAACATGCACTTAGAGAGTTAACATGAACCTACTGAGTTAACATGCACTTAGTGAGTTAATACGAACCTTAGTGAGTTAACTCGCATCTAATGAGTTAACACAACCTACTGAGTTACGATGAACCTATTGAGTTAACACGCACTTAGTGAGTTAACATGCATCTACTGAGTTAACATGCACTTAGTGAGTTAACATGCACCTACTAAGTTAACATACACTTAGTGAGTTAACACGAATCGACTGAGTTAAAGTGAGTTAACAAGAAAGTGAAGCTCGCTGAGTAAACATGCATATGGGGCTCCCTTGACATATAAATGCACATTCAACAATGTTGAACAGCAACCTGTTCCTGATTATGATATAATCTGTTAACAAAGCTTACATAATAAAACTGTTGGTATCAAATAAACGTAAATACTATCGGTATTATATCCAAAATAAGTCATTAAATAATAAATATCGGTTAAGCTGAGCTTCCCTTTTGCCATCTGTTAAAATTTTTTATGTTTTTTTTTTTAATTTGGATATGGTTTTTTTTATTTTGGATGTCAATATGAGGTTTTTTTTTAAATTAAGTATAATTTGTTCCAGTTGACGATAGCGGACTACAGCGAGGAGCGTATAGCGGAGGTGAGCGCGCTGGTGTCGCGGCTGCACCAGTACCTGGCCGCGCTGGACCAGCTGCGCCTCACGGAGCGAGAGCACGCGCACCTCAGAGCACTCTGTCTCTTCTCACCAGGTACTGTAATGGACGTTTATAGGGCAATTTACAAAAAAAAAATATAATAAAAAATTTTGTAGGATTTTTTTATAGAGAAAATAGCTAAAGCTATAAATAGCACTCTAAGCACTCTTTCTCTTCTCATAAGGTGCTTGAGTGTTAATTAACGTTTATTGGGGAATTTTAAAAAAATATTTTTTTTGGCGATTTCATAAAAAAAAATTTAGGATTTTTTCTACGAAAAATAGGATCTAAGCTTTGTGTTCTCAACAGGTTACCGAATAAAATAGTGTTCCGAGACGGGCGGGAAATAGATAGAAATGGGTTTTTTATAGAAAAAATAGCTTTATACTAAAATAGTTTTAAAACGAAACGTTAATTTTAGTACAGTGCCAAGTAACATTACTTATTAGTACATCGTACGTGTACTAACCAAGACTATACGACCTAAGCTTTGTGTCTACTAACCAGGTTGGTGTACACTTGTGCATTAGTGTTCCGAAACTATTATTGAGAAATTAAAAAAAAAATAAAAAAAAACGGTAGCTTTATAACAATCTGAAGGATATTTTCAAGATATTGAACATATGAATAATTCTTACTAATATAAATGCTAAAGTTTAGATGCATGTTTGAGTTTGTAGCCTAAACTGCTGAACATATCTCGATGAAATTTAACATAGATGTAATTATGCTCATTTTTTTAATTCCACGCGAACGGAGTCGCGGGCGAAAGCTAGTAATTAAAACTCTTTCACAGATGGTGTACCGGATTTCCTGACACGTAAGCTCCAGGAGTACCAGAGCCTGGTGGTGCGGTCGCTCCGCGCATCTGCCGAGGAGTCCCGCGCAGCTGCTCTGCTGCTGCAGCTGCCGCCGCTCCGCACCTTCACGCCTACCTTCATCGAGGATGTCTTCTTTGTAGGGTTCCTTGGAGACGTCTCCATCGATGAGGTTATACCTTATCTGTTAAACGCTGAACGATGAACTAGGAAGCTTGTTAATGTTTTAAATTAGATTTCTCCCTCGTGGAATTAAAAATATACAAAAGTAAGTAGCCTTTGTCTTCTTTCGAACTATGTTCTACATCTGTGCCAAATTTTATTGAAATCCGTTCAGCAGTTTAGGCTACAAACTCAAACAAATATCAAAAAACTTTTGCGTTTGTAATATACAAGTTGGTTGATGCTTCTTCTGCGTGAAATAAAATAATATAAAAATGTAGGCTATGTTACTCATTGATAACGTAGCTTTTTGTAACGGCCCAGTAGATTTTGAGTTATTTCAATATATACAAAAATACAAATATTTCTTTATAATATTAGTATAGATATACAAACATCCATCAATCCTGTGACAAAGTACTAATAAATTGTTAATTTTTATTTTAAATAAGATTATATATATTTTTATGTCTTCCAGTAATGTTATCTATATTAAAAATATAAATTTAAACCGTCCAATATATTATGTAAATACAAAAATATCATGTTTACGAATAGTTACGAAAAAAAATATGCTCAAAAAGTTAGTATGTTACTATAAAAATGTAATAAAAAAGTTTGTACAGGTAATATTTTTAAACTTTAAAGCATAATATTGCTTTAGTATACTACTGAATAAGGATATACTAGACTTATATTATTGCAAATGTAATTTAGTTATTGTCGTTTATTTCTAAAAATGTTCTTTTAAAAAACTTTGTTCAAACTTTAATTAAATTTATTAATAACCTTTCTTCCTTAAATCACTTATTTAAATTCCTTATTGCTTATATTCCTATATGAAAGTAAATAAAAAAAATGTATTTGATCACTTCATATTGATATATTGCGTTGGGAGGGGACTATTTCACAAAACATAGTTATAATTTTATTATAAGAAGTATTTATGTACCAATGTACGTAATTAAATAAATATGTATTTTTTGACGATTGTACTTAAGTGCCTTAATTAATAAATGTATTGACCAATGTGTGTTTATTTAAATAACCTCAAAATCAAAATATGGACATTAGTGGCATAATCGTATATTTCGTTGCCTAAACCATAAACGCTTTTGAGTGTAACGTTAAGTACATTTTTTTTTCTTCTACTATTTTGTATAACTGCGTTCTGTTTTTAGGAATCATTGAAAACCGGTGCACACCGAGCACATGCCGAATGAATTCCTTTTCATATTTTTGAATAAACTGATTGCTTTCTTTCTTTTATAAAAGACACTTTGGTTTTTTTTCATAGACAATGACAGCTTTTTTTAAATAAGCCAGTGGCTTTTTGATATTTTATTACCAAAATACAAGCTTTATATGAAAATGTAGCTTAGATAAAATATAATGCGTTGCACATTGCACAAACAAGGAGACTTCGTTGTGTAATTTAAAAAAATAAAAATTAATAACAGGTTTGTAATTTATAATCGCCTTTGTTAAATGTTATCATAAGGACAAAAAGTTATCAAATACACTGAAGTGTGCTTGAATAAATAGATATCGTATAGTACTGCAGTACGGGAAATTATATTAATTAGATAGGTAGTTGTCATTTTTTAAATCTGATCCCGAGAAAAACATCTCAATTTCTCGTGGCCAATTGTCTTTAAAAAGCAGTCTAACCAGGATCTACTTTACAAAGCTTCTAAAATATTTAAAAAGAAATGTAAAACACTTTATAGGCTTTACATTTGTAATGTCTTTTTGGGGCTTTTTTAAAATAAAATCACCAGAATGTAATTAACCGTATCTTTTGATTATGTAATTTGTTTCTTTTAATTCAAAACAGGTTTAGCCCGCCTTTACTATACAAGTAGCAAGTAGATAAAAAACATTCAAGGACTAAAGTTGCCCGCTAGAGAATTTTCTCTAGAATATGGAGAACTGTTCAAGCATTTTTTTTATTCTTTTCAAAACTATGAGCAGTTTTTTTATTAAACCTAATCTAAAGAAAATTCTTATAACTTAATGTGTTATTTAACGACTGTTAAACTAGCTACCGTTTTGGACTTATGTCAGGTACAAAAAGGGTTGTATTTAATAACTTTTAAAAGACGCAATATTAGGTGGATTTATAGCCGTCTAATTTTAAATAAGAGAATTTCAAGCAAATTACCATTAAAATTATACTTTAAGCTAAATCAACTTCTGTATGTGGTAACATCAATTTTTTTTTAGCTGTCATTGTGTATAAAACCTTTAAATTTCGCGTCTATTGTGATATTTAGTTAATTTTATCGTTACAATGGCGAGTAAAGTAGCAGTAGTAACTGGTGGAAACAAAGGTATTGGATTTGCGATTGTTCGTGGCCTTTGCAAGCGTTTCGAAGGTGTTGTATATTTAACTTCAAGAGACGAGGAACGGGGCAAAAGAGCAGTAGCTGAATTAAACAAAGAAGGTTTAAGTCCGCTTTACCACAAATTGGATATAACTGTGAAGGAAAGTGTTGAAGTTTTCAGGGATTATATGAAACAAAAATACGGAGGTATCGATGTTCTGGTTAATAACGCTGCTATAGCTTTCAAAGTTAACGCCAAAGAGCCAGTAGCTGTCCAAGCAGCGGAAACTTTGAGAGTCAATTATTTCTCTGTTCTTTCTACATGTGAAATATTATTTCCTGTACTTAAAAACGGCGCTAGAGTTGTTAATGTTTCGAGTTCCTGTGGTCAATTAAGTCACATAAAGAGCGAGAGTTTGAGAAATCGGTTGAAAGACCCTAGGCTGACTGTTCCCGAACTTTCTGAACTGATGTACCAGTATATTGAGGATGCTAAACAGGGAATTCATTCTAATAAATGGGGAAACTCCTCATATGTGGTGTCTAAAGTTGGCTTGACTGCATTGACAATGATTCAACAACGTCAACTCAATGACAGAGGTAAGATTATAGTAAAGAATTGAAGTTTATATAAATTATAAAACAGTTGTTGAGTTAAAACAGACTCATGTTGTAAGTTCATTTTAGTAGTAGGTGACAAACAAGCGAGAGGCCACCATAATTTGCAAAAAATAACCAAGTCATTGCAGCTGCTGTCCATACAAATTTGCTTTTTCTAAAGAGTTTCTAACCTTCAAAATGAGGACATCTACTCTATCTATGCATCTATTAAATCCACTTACCCATCCCATATCTTTGAAAAGGGTACAAACAGAATTAAAAATTTCAAATTTTCTCTACTATTTCTTAATTTTCAGATATAAAAGTTAATGCAGTGCATCCAGGTTATGTAGACACAGATATGACATCACATAGAGGCCACCTGACTATAGATGAAGGTGCAGTAGCACCATTATTCCTAGCTCTGGATGCCGATGACTCAGTCCGCGGGCAGTATGTGTGGTGTGACAAGAGGATTGTTAACTGGGATGGACAGAGGCTTAAAGATTAAATCATTTATGTTAATGTTCTCTAGGTCTACAATGGTTAAAAATATATCCTAGACTTAAAAATGTGATAATTGTATATAATGCATTTTGATTGCACAATCATGTTGTAATATTGTAAGTTTAAAGTATGTTCAAGAATGTTCTAGAATTTATTATCAGCATGAGATAAAAGATTATATTTTGTTAACTTAATTGTATTATTATTTACTAAATATACTGAAGTGAAAAATCTACCATTTTGTTAACAATTTATTTCAAAGTTCTATTTAACATAATTGTTATATTTTATACCAGTGTTGCTATAGTTTAGATATTTGAAAGCTCTTGTATTTGTATGAATCTGCCTAGAACACAATTTTTAGATATAGGGGGAACAGCAGGATATTTGAAAAGAACTATACCAGAGTTGAATAAAAAAAATAAGAATACTGTTAATAATTTATTTATCAATTAATGTTCCTCTAACTCTCTTCTCTGTACTACTACTAGCTGGTGTCTCTGCCTGTCTTTTATTCATTCCCTTCCTTTCTAATTGTTTTTCAATGATTCTCGCATTATTTGCATAACTGTCTGCCACTTCTCTGGCCTCAATCTCATCCTCTTCCTCATCAATAGTAGAGACAGTGACTGAACTGAACTTGCCCATGTTCTTAGTATGTTTGGTTACCATAATCTTTTTAGGTTGAGCTAATGCAACTTGTTTGTAAATATCTGTCATAGTACCTTCACCTGCTGATGAAACTAAAGCCTCATGCATGATAAATACGACGTTGCTGTCTTGATTATGTTTGTAATAGATCGGAATTCCACATTTCTTGCATTTTAATCTGTACTGCCTTTCAATACCTTTCTCACGCTTCAGATATACCGTTTCGTCAGGATCGGCAGTGATTTTATGTGCGTGTTTTGAACCATCTATAACTCTGGCTTCGTCAGTTGGACGTAATGGTAATCTGTCTATCGTGCAGTCCAAAATAAGAGACATTTGGCCACAAAGGCAGTAGTATATGTGCAAAGGTTTTGCTTCATTGTATTCTTCCTGGTCCTTCGTGTCCGAACAGACTATACTTCGCGATACCACTTTAGGCATTATTATGAGTTGTAAACTTTTAAATCTTGAATAATGTTAAGGTATGCGTTCTGTTTTAATAATTATGCGGGGAATTTAGTTTGGAAAACAGACCGTAGAATCTTGAATGACATTGATGTTAATTGGTAGAGTTGCCGTAAGTGATAAATGTTTTTAGTTATTCCATTTTTTATATTAATCAGTACAAAATTATGAACTTTGTGTTTAATAATTCAATTTACGTTTGTGCCTTAAACTTATAATCTTGCATTTTTTGAGACGCGCTTTCATAATTTACGATGATAAAATTAAAAAGCAAGATTCTCAAAGTTCATCTCACACGAAATGTGGTAAATCGGAACGTAATATTGTAACCTAATGTCAACTTCACATCGATTGTCTTTTATTCAACCATTTCAACCGATTTGTATTTTACTGCACATGTGCATCGATTTCTTATTCTTTTAGCTAAAGTAATACAAATCCGTCGATAAAATGGGAGCCATAGCGAGCAGATACCGTGTTTCCAACGCCGGGCTAACACCCACTGATCAAGTAAACATAGAAAATGAAACCAAACGTGAGAACCCTGGAACTTTGGACGAATTGCATAAAAAAAGCAAAGGTAATCCATCAAGGACTTACAAAAATGATTTAATTTAATATCAAACTAATGTTAACATATTTGGAATGATTTTAATTCCATTATTCAGTCAGAAATTGATGCTATTACATTAGCGAAGGAATCGTTAAAAAGTTTGGTTATCTTGTGATGTAATATTACTTGAAACTATTGTGACCTCATTTTAGCATTATTTTGTGTTGATAAATATGAGATTTTATAAAACTTTAATTTTAATTGGAATCATACAAGTGACTAAGTAAAAATCTCTTATTTACATAAGATAAGACTGAGGTACACTTTAAGGTGGTTATATGTTAGATTTAATTTAGGTGTAGCCATAAAAGTAAACAAAACTTTTTACAAAATAAAGATAGTTGTTGTACTGTTTATTCAATTTTCTATAATATAATTTTACCACCTATAATGATACTGTAAGAGCATTTTTGTACAAACAATAAACTTGGCATATTTAATTATACAATTATACATTTTCAGAGGTGATGCCAGTCAACTTTGAAGGTGGTAAACTCATGGTAAACAAGGGCATATCAAATCATTTCCAGGTATGTTCAATTTTAACACATTAAGGGAATTATGAAAATGTTGGCTCAAGGGTTTAAGCACTTGACTTGTATGAGTCCATGGTTTGAATCTTGCTACATCCCAATATGACTTGTATTTTTTATATACATAAGTTACCTAAAGTTTACACTTATCTATCACTTATTACTTTTTAATTCTTAGAACATTTCTTCAATGTTTTCTAGTATAGTAGAACCTTGATAAGTTGAAGTCCAATTGAAAAACAAAATATTTTAAGTTATAGAGGTTTTAAGTTATCAAGAGTCTATATTATAGAGGTTTTGGGCTCTGATGGGAAGGGAACATATTATTTTTTGAAGTTATAGAGGTTTTTATGTTACCAAGGTTTGAGTTATCAAGGTACTACTGTATATCCACATAAACAAACATACTCGATGAATATTCATCTGCAAGATTTAGTCAAGCTTTTTTTAATTAAGGGTATATTTCGTTTAATTATAATTTACTATAACTTTCAGATGGCACATACTCTTACGATGAATTCAGCACAGAATGGTTACAAGTTGAGTGCGACATATATTGGTACGAAGCAGATCTCACCGACTGAAGCGTACCCAGTGGTGCTGGGAGACGTAGACCCATCAGGCAACTTTAACTTTAACTTGATCCACCAACTCACTAATGAGATAAGAGTGAAGGGTGCGGCACAGGTAAGCTTTATATCTAACATTTTGGGAATTAAAAAAACATAAATGTTTGCCGATGATTTTTTCTAGACTACTAGTTTAGGAGATTGAAAACAAACATACATCCATCCTAACTTTCATATTTATTATATTAGTAAGATAACTCAAGATCTTAATTGAATAGTCCATTTAATGTCTCTAACAATATAGTTTTTCTGTACCATATAAAAATCTATACTATACTTATTATAATAATGCGTAAACACACACTTCTTTGTTGCCTAAGATGTCAGCAATTACAGCATATTTGAATAATTCTCTTTGTAATAAAAAGTCCTACACTTACCTTACGCTTTAGGCTATATTTTTTCACTACATTAAACATAGGGGGTTAATATTTTGGATAAAAACCCTAATGTGGGAAAGAGACCATAAGTTGTTGCCAACATCAAGCAAGCAAAATTGCCATAGTAAAGTAATTGGTATTTTGACATTTGCAATTAATTATTTGACACATGTAAACAATAAAATAAAATTTTCATAATCTTGTGAGGATGAAGTCGCAGGGGAACAGCTAGTGTTAAAATATTTACTGAGAGAATTAAAAAATGAAATTCCAGAATCAAAAATATTTTTTTTCAACAGTAGTTTATAAATGTCTACAAAATAAAGTTTTTTTTTAACATTTCTGAACAATCTTTACCTTTTTTACAGGTGCAGGAATGCAAGCTGACAGCAACGCAGGGTACTGTAGAGTACAAGGGTTCGGACTACACGCTGGCCATGGCTATGGGCAAGCCTGACTTCAGTGATAAGTCCAGCGTCTTTGTGGGACATTACTTACAAGTATGTTCTTTACTAGCCGTTGCTCGCGACGTCGTCCGAGTGGAATTTATCTATACTATTATAATAAAGCGTAAACACACATTTCTTTGTTGCCTAAGATGTCACCAATTACAGCATATTTTTGAATAACTCTTTTTTTTTAATAAAATGCCGTACACATACGTCACGCTTTAGTCTATATATTTTTACGCTATTAAACTTAGGGGTTAAATATTTTGGATAAAAACCCTAATGTGGGAAAGAGACCATGAGTTGCTGCCAACATCAAGAAAGTGAGATTGCCAAGGTTTGTCATGTCATGTCATTTTGATATTTGCTATTAATAATTTGACATACATATGTCAAATTAATTATTAAATAAAATTTTAACGTTTATGTAAACGTTAAAATTTTATTTTGACGTTTACATAAACGTTAAAATAAAATTTTCATAATTTCATGCGGATGAAGCCGGCACGGGAACAGCTAGTGATTAATTAAAAAAAAGTCATGGCTTATTTTCTCACTGATATCATAGCTTTTTATTGATTTAAGGTTTTTGTCTTTATAATATTAGTATGGAAGAGGAAAGATTTGTATTTATGTGTGATATTGGGCCGATTTTAAAAAATTATTCACGATTAGAAAGGTAATTTATTTATAAGTAACATAGGTTATATTTTTTGTTACTTTTTTAATATAATGGAAACGGACGAAGTCGCGAGCAACAGCTAGTTATGATAGTAGTATAGAAAGTATTACATAGTTTAATGTTTCAGTGATTGCCTTGATAATAAGTTTTGTGTATTTTAGTCGGTAACAAAGCGTGTGGCGCTGGGCGCAGAGCTTGTATACCAGTCAGGGGCGAGGATCATGGGCGGGGAGATCGCCATCGCCTCTGCAGCGGCACGGTACACTATGGATGGTAAGGAAATACATATTTTTTATCGACAGAGTAATGTTTTTTATATATGTAAGTTTTTATGTAATAGTTTGTTTGTAAATTATATTATAATGGATTACGACATTAACTACAGAATTATGAGGAATGAGGTGTCATTTGATTTTTCTTCTCGGTATGTCAAGATACATGTATTACATTGGTGCAAAATAAGTAAATAAGTGGAGTTCAAATTACACTTGTTAAGTTGTTTTATTGCTTAATATATTTGTGATGTTTTTCAATTTAAATATTTAAAATAACATTTTAGATTATTCAATTCAAATTTTAAAATCTTTGTTTTATAACACGTCCCATAGATGGCGTTGTTTCATCTATTGGAACCCGTCAGTCGGTTTAATGTTATAGTTTTATTTGCTTTGCTTGTATAAATAAAAAAAATACAAAATAAATATTTCTAACAGATTCGGAAGTGTCTGCTACTTTGGGTGCAGCTGGATTCCACATTTGTTATTTCAAACAGGCCAGCGAACAGTTGCAAGTAAGTACCTATTTCACAGTCTACAACAGTCACAATTTAGTATTCCAAGTTTATTTAAGCTTTGATTAAGCTAGTTTTTAAGATTTAAATGTTTAATAGTTTAACAACTCACACCCCTAATCTAAAGAGGTAGGCAGAGACCATTTAACTTTTTTTTTATTTAATACCTCTCTAACTTCTATATCGAAAATAGATGTTAGGTGCTCTTAAAATCTTTCTTGAGTATTTCATTAAAGAAATGCACAATATATTTAATTTGATTTTTATGACAAACGCATTTTATTAATTTAGTTAGCTAACAGACACAAATCTTTTCGACGATGTTAAAAAAAATTATTTGGAAGCTTTGTCTTCTTGGTATTTATAATATTAGTGTGATTTGTTTTAAATATTGTTTATTTTGTGCACAGATTGTAGCAGAAATGGACACATCGTTCCGCGGCATGGAGTCTGTGGGCACGATAGGCTACCAGGTCACGGTGCCTAAAGCTGATCTAGTATTTAGAGGTTAGTGTCAAAATATACTTGATTTTTAATATTAATTAGCCTGTTTTTCATTGTTAAAACTTTAAATCAAGATTATTGTTTTCTAATTTTCTTTGAAAAGCTGGAAAGAAAAGCTTTTACAAATTTTATTGGCGTGTTTTCTGTTTTTTTTTTAAATAGATATTTTGGAGTAATTTTTATTAAGTGTACAAAATTATGACATCCTTATGCCTTTAGACTTAGACTTTTTGTATATGTCATATGAAGCTGATTGAATCCTTACAAATGATCAACTCAATGGGTAACACTAGACTTTTATATTCAACTAGCTTACGGCTGCGGCTGCATGCATTAATAATATTAATAAGATTGCTTCTGATTTTTAATTAATTTCCAATTCTAGGTATGGTAGACTCGAATTGGAACATTGGTGCGGTTTTAGAGAAGAAATTGCAGCCACTGCCGTTCAGCTTTGCGCTGTCGGGTATGGCCAACCAGGCCAAACAGCAGTTCAAGTTTGGTTGTGGCTTGATCATCGGATAGTGTTAGTGCAGTGTCAGTGACGGTACAGTGAACCCAAAGTTTTCGTTTCCAAGATAACACAAAAGGTTTAGGTGTTATTTTAAGTTTTAATTGTCTATCGGAATATCGAAGCAATCGGTTAACATTCAGGTCAGTAAATTCTATATTTTTGACAATCTCTGACTACTTGTTTTCTAGATTCAATATGTTTTAAATTTCGGCTGGTTTTATATATTTTGTACTGTTATTACATTAAAGTATATAACATATGTATGAAATGATATCTGACATCCAAAGCCCATAGACAAAGTATTATTTGATGAATATTTCAAGTTGAATCAATAAAAAAACATACAGAGGAATTGAGTGTTTCTTTTTGTCAAAAATCTATCAGAAAGCAGAATAAAAATGTGACAAGCATGTAATTGAACATTATCGGCAATATCATCCAATATGCAATTGCTTATTGAAATATATATAGTTACAAATGGGCACTAGTCTATTAAAAAAAAAGTTAATCCTTGTACTGTAGCTGTATTATGTCTTTGCCATTTTTCTATGGGTTATGTTACTTTCTGACAGAATGATGATAGTCTAACCAGATATTCTAGCACTATACTTTGTCGAGGGCAGTAAGTTGGCGTCCCCAGATCTAAGGGAGGTAGATTGGTAAAGGGGGACTGCCAACCCCATGTACAATCACTAAACTAGTGTTATGTAATTTTGCAATTCGAATATTGTATGTATGTATTGCAGTGTTTGTGATTTTTGAATTGCCATTTCTTGAGTTTGTTTAATCAACTCATTTGATGCATACATCATGATGTAAACTTTATATTATCTGGTTTGTTTTCATATATTTTCACGATTAAATCAATTTTACACAGTTAAATGCAAAAACTGCTATTTATTTATATTAAACCAACAAGATAAAGCTAAGCTTGCCTAATGGTAATACTAAATTGTAATTTTTCAACTCTGCTATAAAATTATATGTCATCTCGCACACTTATTAGAAAAACAAAGACAGCAATAATATACAACTGTCATAAGAATGGAATATCAAAGCCAGTGCAGTAGTGGTAATGCTTCAAATATTGGTACAAACACTAGATATTTTTGTATTTATAGGGTTAAAATAACACCAGAAAGCATTTAATATTGACCACTCTGTATTACTTTCTATGCATTTAAACATTTTCATTGTTAAATTTGTTTCTACTAACAGTTGTTTTAATCACAATAGAAAGTATTTTTGATATAGTAAGCATTTTATACTGAATATTGATATATGTTTAAATTGAATAGAAATAATCTTGTCAATTGCTCTATTTGTTTGTCTGTGGATGCAAATGCAAACAAAAACCTTTAATATGGGTATCATATATTTTATATTCAATTTCATTTATTCTCCATGTATGTAAAATATATTTTTTTTCATGACATTTTAATGCTGTCAATGTCATGAGTGGTCATTATGTTTTGACTTGCTTCCTTCCCGTATGATTGTAGATAGAAAATGGCGTTTTGTACATAGAGCCTGTTGTTAAAATGATTATTTTAAATAGAGTTATGTTAATAAATCAATTGTTGTTTTATTCCTTTTTTTCCTGACATTATCTTACTTTTAACTAACAACATGGCTTCCGTAAAAGATTTGGCTGCAGTTTTAGAACATGTTAGTTCTTCTTACAAATCAATATGTAGATAGAGAAGTGATCGGAGTATTCCTGAACATTAAAAAAGCCAGTATTGTTTCAAAACTTTTGTCGAAAAGGAAAGCATTGAGAGTCCGCAGTCATATCCACCGCTGATACCCGAATTATATTGAAGGTAGGAAACCATACATCCGAGAAAATGTCCTAATTTAAACAATCAAATCCTTTTTTTTATTATTATTAACAAAATGCAAAAAATTATGTGAACAAATGTTTGTTAGAAGGGATCTCCAGAACTCAATTTGATAAATTGTTTAATTCCGTCGATAATATCGCTTGTAAATGTTAGTTTCAAATAAAACAACAAACAGTTTAAAATAACGTAAGTTTATTACATGTAATGAAATAAAAAATAATCTATAAACCTTTATTCTGTTATATTCATACAATGGATGCCAAAATTATCGGCGTACAATGTTTCGATAAACTCAGTTGCCACAGACAATAGTGAGGTATTACAAATGTTGCCAGGTTTCGTCAATGAAGATAAAAACAAAGTACAAACTTATGTGAACTATATCGGTATTAACTTTTAAATCATATTAAAACTTATTGTCTCATGATCTATTATTTTTATCTTTCAAACTTGATTCAATTTTTCGTATCACACTAAAAATACCGACAAACAATTTCTCGACCTAAAACCATTTCTGTGAATACCTTTTGCAGGCATTCGATAACACATCGATTTTAAACACTAACATCTGTGCAATCAGATAAAAAGCTGGGTGGACATGTGTAAGTTCATGAAAACTACCAAATATAAAATTAACTACGAAATAAGTTACCTGTCAACCCAACTTTCCGTACAAACTAAGAATTTAACTTGTTATCTCCTAATACCAAAATATATTATTATGGCTTGAGTTATCATTTTGAAGATACATTATATATGTTTTTTTTTAATATTATTTTTTTTTTCATATTATATCTATACGTAACCTAGACTTAATATAAAGACGATTGCAACACTTTTAGGTTGGCAACATGTCATTTTTAGAGATCTATTTCGTTTATTTTGAGATGTTCTTTAAGACATTTTGATAAAATTGATTTTTTTATTTACTCTTTGATAATTACACTTGAAAAATCGAAGTTATACGTTAATCAGTTTGATATTTAGGAAATACACGATAATTTTTGGCAGCTTTTCGAAAAATGAATCATGTACATTGTTTTTTATGTTATTTGCCAAAAAGAACATGCCAAAACTGGCCAAAGGTAATCTGGCAGTACTAAGGATCGCCATCACCGAAGAAAATGCTAGTTTATTTGGTTGTCAGCGAACATTGCGCGGGAAAATGTTATTGTGTAGTGCAATGTTTGCGCGTTAGCCGTAAGAGGTAGCCTCGTTAGTCAGTAGTCGCATCTTCAAGTAATCAGAAGATGGACTACTGGCGACTTTGAGTTATGACCGCAACTAGCTTAAAATCGATATAACTAATTTGTTGTTTTAATAGAAATTCATGCAATTAATACAAAAATAATGTTACAAATTGATTGTGCTAAGAAATAAAAAAAACATTCATAAGCAAAAGGGTCAACTACACTAAGTACAAAATGGTAGCATTAAAATTTCTCAACCTCGTTTCTAATCGACGTATTTTTCAATAGTAATCTTTTATAACAAGCATTCTATAACCATAGACAATTATTATCCTTTTAAATGACCTCGGTGCGACAGACTGAAAATAAATTTGAGTGTTGCCATCAACTAAAACAATCCTACCAAAAGTTTGTCAGAGGAAGATTGGACAAAACACAAAAGAATCATGACATCATTCGTTTAAAAATTATCTCTACTATAAAAAAATTAATTACCTATGAGATATAGTGATGACTGTAGTCCGCTTCGAGGGACGATAGATAAAGTTGGATTTATGCTATGGGGACAGACTGAAGATATTTACAAAGTGCTATCTCGCCCACTCCTGTATCCTCGCCAGTATTATATAACTTTAACTGTATATATACATATATATGCTCCACAGTGTCGACAAATACAAGGTTACATCATTATATACCTAGCACACAATTTAAAAAGGTAACTCAGTTCAATATAGTAGCGTGATTCGAAAAACTTTGAGGTAATTAATATGATTTATCTTATAAAATACGAACGTACTTGTACATTAAAAAATTGTTAATTTTGACAACCTGTATTATACTTAAATTTAGTGATTAAGCCAAAAATCCATCGAATAATTCATATTTATTTAAATTACTCCAAACCGTGAACACTCTTTCTAATATAATTCTAATCTTAAGCGTTAGATACACTATGCGACCGAAGACAAGCCATAGACAATTCATAACTTTTTAAACCAACCAATTCTTTGTATTTTTTTACGATCCAAAGAGTAAAGGCTCCAAAATTTCCACTTCATGTTCTCCTCAACAAATTTAATTACATATGAGCTTTCGATGCTAAACTAATTCTCTAAAATTGGCATTTTGTGGTCCATTAATATAAACTGTATCAGATTTACCACTGACTGACAGAACACGGCGTCAGATGTATACAGATTATATAAGTACTGGCTTTGAACACGATGCGCTATGTCCGTGAAAAGTTACGCAATGTTAATGGTATTCAAATGCAAAAAAACATGACATTTAAAAAAAAGACCAGAATTGACAAGACTTTCATATATGTATTAATTAGAAATGAAAACGGATAAATTGGAAGGAAACATAATTATTAAAATAAAGACTCATTGAATCAGAAACAATGAGATTTCATCGATGGATTTGATATGTTTTACTAAGAAATGTATCACAGTTGCATATAATAGCAATTGCGTAGCTTTTCACGAACAAAGCGGATTGTGTGTGCGGTCGCGGCAGTGTCCACTGATATAATAAAAATCTTAGTTAAACACTATTAAATTGGTGGCACACCTTTTATAGGAAGAGAGAAAAAAATAGCTTAGTATAGCTATGTTTAGTGACAAACCAACTTTTGCCGCAATTTCAAATTAAAATTGGTAGTTTTATAATTTTCAATGGCAACATTAAGAAATGTCCTTTTGACATTTAAGAAACCATTCGTTATGAGAAAACACTTCTTTTGATATATATATTTATGATTTAAATCCTTTCTTCAATAGATCTAGATTGTTTTGATATCTTAAAATAAAAATTGTTTAATTAAAAAAAACATTACTTCGTTATACCAATATTAAAACTATTAAAAACTACCAATTCTAAAAATTGCACAAAACCAACTTATACATTGCTTGCGATTCCACTAGAAAGCTATAAAACCAGTATTGCCATATCGCAGTCCGGTAGCACCACAACTCAAAATACCATAGATAATAACGAAATAATTTGAATTTAGAAGATAATTTAAAATTGCGACAAAGAAACTGAAATAAAAGAGCAGAACAGTAGCTTACCTATCTCTCTTCCCGGCGTGGCTGTGAACACCGCGACGGCTACACGGGGCGAGCGCGCGCGTGACGTGCCGGGCGCGCGTGACGTGCCGGACGCACGTGACGTGTCGGACGCGCGCGCCGTACCGGACGCGTGCGGGCAGCGGGCGGCTGACGTTATAACTCCATATCGTGCGCGGCGTCGTCGCTGAAGTCGCTCATAGAGCTCTCAGAGTCGCTGGAGTGCGCGCCGTTCATGTTGCCGGAGGCGGTCGCGCCGCCCATGCCAGTGATCGCGTCCTTCTCTAGGAGCGCCTCTTCTGTGGCAAATCTTCGCACGTAGTCTGAACCATACACATTTTTGTTTCAATTGTAGTAGAGACCAGAAAGTTAAGATGGTCAAATTGCCCATATAAAGTACATATACTTAATTTTGTTTCTCTTTCTCCACAAAGGACAATATCAAAGATAGCAATAATAAAACAAAGGCAACTGAATTCTCTGACTAGAGGCACACAAAACATCTTTAGATCAATAGAAATTTTAGTAAGTACTTACCAGAGACTTTCTTCTTGTACTCCTCAGGCTTATGCAGGTACATGGCGGCCGCGTCGCCGTTCAGCGGGTCGATGGGGTTGGGGTAGGTCAGCAGCTGCGGCAGGAACGACTCGAAGATGTTCGATAAATCTGAAACGTGCAAGACGACAGCTAAAACTTAGTAAATAGACATTTTTACTAGTATACTAAATCCGTTGAGGCATTTATATATCAAGTAATTTTTAATGGAGTCTGTTTCAATACAAATTTTCAATGTAAAGGTTATAAAATAACAAAGAAATTCAGTAAAATGTAATCGTTGCTGTTTATTTGCGATACTTTGAATGTGACGTTAGTTGTAAATCAATATCGAACTGGGTTACTTTATTATGAATGATGTGAACGCTTGCATTACAGGCCTACGTCATAATGTCTTTACGCTCCGCCTGGGATCGATTCCAAACATGTCAAATGAGATCGCAAAGTATCGTATTGTTTTTTGCAAACAAAAATCAAGCTCAACGTGGGATATTTAAAACGAAGTAGACACAAAAATCCTTTTATAATATCCAGTTTCATACAAAACTAATGTCTCATCAACGATATATCTTTGCATAGCAACACGTGCATCCTAAAGTATTCTTTGTGTTGTAACGCGTTGAAATCACATGAAACAAAGCTAAGTTTATACCGAATAAGTCACGTCTTGAAAACGTAATTATATATTGAGACTGCCGTTTCTTTTAATACAAACTATCATTTACATTTATCTTCAGAAATACGGTGAGCAGTGTATTTTTTTTCGAGATCTAAATTGGAAACAGTTCAATGTTCTCTGTCGAGTTATCCTATAATCGTAAGAGCCATAGTCGAACAATATTAAACAGAAGAACCTCGATAAGTTAAAATCCAAGGGAAACACAAAATATTTTAAGTTATAGAGGTTTTAAGTTATCAAGGGTCTATGTTGCAGAGGTTTTGGGCTTTGATGGGAAGGGAACATATTATTTTTTGAAGTTATAGAGGTTTTTAAGTTACCAAGGTTTGAGTTATCGAGGTTCTACTGTATTATGTATCTATTTAGAAGAGCATTAAAAATCAACATTTGGTCATATTTGTTAGAGAACTCACCGTATAGGGCTGTCCAGGCTTGATTGATGACGTCAAGACAAACAGTGCCCGACACCTCGTCTATGTTGGGATGGTACACTTTGTTCATAAAACCAATGGATGGAGATTTGAATGGATAGTGGTCGGGTAAGTGAACTCGCACGCGCCATACGCCGCCCTCGTACGGAGCTGGAACGTTAAGTATTGAATTTATCTGACTCGAAGGACCAAATATCAAAGTATTGTAGAACAAATTACTTTTTCATAATAAGTTCTTTTTAAATTTACAGAACAATCTAAATTGTATTTATAAATAAATTATTGAAGCTTTTTGGACACTGGCCTTCCATCAATCGGTGGACTTCTGCAACTTTAACAAAGGTCTATAGCTTTGAGACAAAGGACAATAAAAATTAAATTTATCAATCTTCCTGCTCAAAGAAGAGTAACATAAAAGAAACATCTTCCCAACCTTATCCTACTCACATAGTACTCCTAAGAAAGATCTTTCAGGTTAATCTATCTTCTGTCATCTCAGTCATCACTCCCTTCTTGATCACATCACCTTTCTAGACTTACCTCTACTGGTGTTACTTCATCCTCAATTATAAGGAGAAAAAGCAATAGGTATATTTACTTACTTCCTGGAGGTCCAAAGAATTTCACACAGAACTCGTTAAGTCCTCCAAGGATTGTAACTTCATGCTTACTCTCAATGCTATAAATTGACATTAAGGAAACCACATTTTTCCTTTTATAAAGACAACAAAAATAAACGCTAAACATCATTAATATGGCAAGATTTATTTCAAATAGGAAATGAGAATAGATCCAAGTATGTAACATTTTTGTTTTGGAGACAAACTGGCAAGTTGGTTTAACCAAATCTTAAGTAATTGCTTATAACAACAAGAAATTACAGCATTCTTTCATTATTAAATTAGAGGTTAATCCAAAAAACTGTATATAATATAAACAAGAATATATTACTAGGTAATAACATGTTTATTTTGGTCATATGAATAAATTCTTATTAGAAACTTTAAATGTGAATTATGATTGCATTTCTCAAAAACTGATAAAAAAAAGAAGTGGTAATTAATAATTTTAATTAAATTACAAAATAAAATATAATTTGGTTGTCCAAGTGCTAAACTTTATTTCCTTGTTTTCCCACACCAGTTCTAGATAATGGCCTCTTATCAAATCTTATCAGAACAGTTTGTTGGAGAACTATGTTATTTCTATAAACTTTTAGATATACAGACTTCCTAAATCTATAAATAAGAATATATGTTGTCTATTAATGTCTGTTCAATAAACTATCTCAAAGTTAGTGTCAATTTTAGTAATTTCCTCTTGTTGAATTTTTTTTTAATTGGTAAATTCAGATTTCTGTGTAAATATGAAAGTAATGTGATAAGAGAACTGCAGTTTTTATTTGTCTGTCTCATATTAATGTTTGATGAAATGTATTCAATAAAATTAATATTTAAATAAGTTATATAAAATAGTTTCGAGCATTGCTGTATCACAAAATTAGTTAATGAAGATTTATTATACAGATTCTGTTTGTTTAAATATCAACGCTTCAATTTTTTATTTGCATAGAGTATGAAGTTTTTGTAAATATCATTATGTGCTTAACAATAGCCACAAACATTATCTTATCTATAATTAATGAAACTATGACAGTGAAGTATGTAAATATGCCTATAAAAACATTTCACACTTAAATAAATAACTCATTAGTACTATCAATGTTTACTTCAATAAAATTATAATATACTGTTAAAAATAAATGAATTAAACCAGAACATCTACATTTAGTTGTTTACTGTCTTATGATGATTTGTATTTATATTTAGGGAATCTGTTTTGGATAGAAGCCAAATTCTCGATTACATTAGGTTTGAATTTGAATGATAAAGTTGATCTACCAAAAGCTATGTAGGTTTGAAGTCTTTGTTTAATGAAAGGCTCAATTTTAACACCTATATAAATTCTTTTCATTGTTCTTACACAATTTCTGTGTTAAATGCAATTATCATTAACACTAAACATAAATCGTGCGTGTTAAACCTTGTTGAATAGAAAAAACGCAATTGAGACCGTGGCCTACATTAAGATTACGAAATAATACAATCTATGGACGCGGAAGAGTACAACTTGCGAGAATGTACTCATGCGTATTTTCTATGCGATATATATAGATACGAAGTACCTAATAGATACACAAAGAATGAACACATCTCATGGCCCTTGGGACAGTTATAAGTGAGAATTAATCTCTTTACATTTGAACTTAATGATTAATTAATCAAAGCCTACATCTAACAAAAGTCTAGAGACAAATTCTATCGATTTTATATTATGTGGTGACAATCAGCTGATGGCCCTTCAAGCTACCTACTTATTTACATGGTGGCCCTAAGTGCAATAGGTGCTTTGTAACGAAGATAACAAAGGATACAGTTTGATGACATCTGTGTCCATACGACGTTTTCCAGCGCTCGGTGACGACATCTTCGTGATCTATTTCTAATAAATCACTATATCGAACACGAACACTAGCACAAAGTCACACTCGACGCAGCGAGACAAATATTTCGTGCACCAGCAGCAGTCAGAAAAATAACATTGTAGAAAAACAATGGACACGATCCATAGACTAAAATTTCGAAGATGATGTGTAATGAAAGTGGTGTTGTAAGATGCAGGAATTCCGATTCCTACCAATGTGTCTCATTTTAATCAACGCATGAAAAAAATTGTTTTCATAATTTTTAAAGCTTTGGAAAAGAAAAATTAAAAGCTCTAACGTATAATGTATTCAGATAAGAACAAAAGTACTTTGTTTTTATCGCAGAATTTAATTTCAATCTGATTGAAACCATAGATAACACATAAAGGACGATTATGCGTCAAAAATAAAAAAGGCTGCACTTTTGTCTACGCCCCATCGTCTAAAACTTTGCGTGTGTGACTCCATGAAACATTATTTTTATTTCAATCTAATTATAGAGTCAATTTAATTTACCTCATACCAGAGTTAGTCGAGATAGAGAGCGTGGAAACAGTGACGGTTTAGAAGTGAATAAAGATCGCGAAAACATGTGTTTTGATGTGAACATTGCGTGAACACTGATGACACTAGCAGAGGATATATGTCAACAATTTGTAATTATTTCATATAGGGGCTGGTGGATTTGTGTTTTTTCTTAACAATAAGTCCTGTGATTGTTTAAACGTGAAGCTTGGTTGTGAGAAAGTTGACGGCTCTGTTGGATTTATTGGAGAGAACCCAATCTTACTTCCGGCAGTGATGTGGGGCCGGTAGAACTGAATCTGACTGTTACATCCAGCAACGATATGGCGAACCCTGCGATTGGAATTTCCTTTGATCCAAATGATATGTCCAGGTGAGATACGCGCGTAAATCTAAGTTAACTTCCGTTTAACAGATATTCTGAAGTTTAGTTTGATGTTATTGTAAATTTCTAAGATCTTTTACTAACAACATTTAAAAGAATCTATAACATTTTTTTGTAAAGCTTCATAATGCATCGAGTTAATTTAAATTAGTATTAACTGTGTATACAAACTACATCTCCTTTAAAAAAAAAAGGGAATGAGAAGGACTACTCTATGTGTCTACAGACATTTCCAAATGGATTAACTATTTAGCAAATGTTTTGCATATGACTGTCTAAGGAATTAAGAAAAAACTTTTAGTCGCTCAAGTATTTTACCAGACATTGCTATATGAATGTTTCTAGCGATACCTTATAACTAATATCCATCCATACAAAATATTAGTAAGATAGACAACAGTCCTGGCTGAATATAAATTGATATCTGTTTAATTATTCTTTGAACAATCATATCCAAAATAAAATCAATTCCATGAAACCATATATAGTATGTATTATGTAACAAAGCAAATAGCAAATATAAACAATATCATTTGATATTGAACTCTGTGTTAGTAGACATAAAGATTAAGTTATCACTGAAGTTTGATTTAATAATGCAAATTTTTTATATTGCTTATGGCTTGTCTATGGATAGATTGTGTTACTAAGTTAACCTTGGCTTGATTACTTAGCATTTATAATAGTGGATTATCTTATATTTTAATTGTTGTTTAAAATATTGTTTAATAATATTTGTTGTAATTGTATTGGTTTGTGTGAACGGGATATGCTTAAGGGAGTGGATTCTGATATGATGGATGATAGAGATGTATGGAAGAGCACATACTGTGCAAACCCTCTGCAGGGACAAGTTGATGATGCAAATAGCATATTTTTTTATTAGTAAACACTATTGTTTCGTTATGATTCAATTTCTTTAGACGGATTATAAGTCATACTCCCAGTTCTCAGTAGGTTTAGTCAAGTACTAAGTTATTTAGTAACTTATATGTGCTTGAACATTTAGTTGAGTAATTTAGCAAGTAATATAGAAAAAAGTATTATAGTGATTTTGGTTGTATTTTCTTCTACAAGTTTTGCTTTCTTATGTTTATTAACTGTTGCCCATACCTTGCCCTGTGTATTATGAAAAAATTAAAGTAAGTAGCCTATGAGTTCTTCCAGATTATTCTCTACATCTGTACCAAATTTCATTGAAATTCGTTCAGCTGTTTAGGCTACAAATTCTAACAACCGTCCATCTATCTAAATGTTCCTTATAATATTAGTATGATTCCATTGCATAGCTACCCATGTTCCATTTTTACCTCAATTCCCAATCGTAATAAAAATGTATAGCCAGTTTTAGTACCCAGCATTTGGTGCATCGGACAAAAAAGTTATTTCCTCCCTGATGTATTAATATAAACGGCAGAACAAATGAATATGGAATTTGTCCCTCCTCGTAACCACCATAATAATCATTTGAATGATCTAATTATTTGATAACTAAAACTAGCTCAGCCCTAATAAAAATAAATTTAAAAAGATCAAAAGTTGTCTATGTGTTCTCCCAGACTATCCTCTATGTCTATGGCAAATTTCATAGTTAGTTTTAGGCTGCAAACTGTAACAAACATCCATCCATCTAAACTTTTGCATTCATGATATTAAGTAAGAAAGTAAGATGAGTAAGATAGCATGTTTGATTATTTTTTAATGCAATATGAAACTAATATTATAAATGTGAAGTATGTGTTTAGATGGATGGATGGATGTTTGAGTTTGTATCCTAAACAGCTGAAAAGATTTTGGTATAGATGTAGAGGATAGTCTGGAAGAACACATAGGCTATTCACTTTTGTTTTATTTAAATTCCGCGTAAATGGAGTCGCGGGCGAAAACTAGTAGTTTGTAATATCAAGGCACTTGGATGTTTGGATTTCCAAAGTAGACCAATTTTTCGTTTTTCTGCATGATGGTCAGACCTGTCATTGATATCTAGTATCTACTAGCATTTGTTTTCATCATGACAATGGGAACCAGTATTTTCCGGAATGAACTGTTTTAAATTTAGCTATAAGTGCTCAAAGTACTGTGGAACCCGCTCCATGAAAGACCTGGCGTATCCACGAAAGACCTAGCAAGGATTAAGGGTTCACAAGACTAAAAATGTAGCAATAAAGTGTTCAATATTTGTGTAATTTTAAAAAGGTTCTACAAGTAATAAGTTTGTAAATATTTGCTTTAAATCCTTGTATGACGGAAGTGAGGGTCGGTACAATACCCGGCTCGAATTTAACGGTCGTCGCAAATTTATTGAGCAGGTTAACTACCCCGTAAATAAAGCCGTCTCGACATACTGTCGGCCGTTCGATGTTGGAACAAATGTTTGATTGTTGGTCACCAACGATTCGTCAATCTGACGTAATGAGAGCAGATGACTTGTAACTCGTTTTTGAAAGCAAGAGAAACTTAAAATGATTTGTAACTAATTTTGATAACACATTAAGAGCGGGCGCATACCTTTGAGTAAACTATCGCACAACTGTTGTGCTATTGTCGATTGTTTAGTTGCACAACTAAAAATCGAGTGGTGTGCGCACTTTCATATAAGCTCATAGGAATCAAAGCGCGACTAAACAGTTGTGCGATAGTTTAGTCAAATGTGTACGCGCGTTCAAAATGCTCACGTCGAATTAAAAATGTTTGTAATGTAAGTATATAAAAGATGTGGAATTCAAAAGGACTTAACCCTTTCGCTGCGATTGCATAGATTGTGGCTGTGGTAAGGGACTGGTAATCCAACTTCAATTTGCATGTCAAGTGCTCTTCGACCTAGCACACTCGATTGCCGGCTAAAACTCCCGGCCTCGTTTTCGAACCAAAGAGGGCGCCGTTCATTTTTGAAATTTGTTCGATTGGCATTATTAATTTCAACGTATAATAACTAGACTTTGTCTGCGTGAAATTAAAAAAAAAGTAGCCTATATTACTTACAGATACAGCTGGTGATAGAATGGTGATAGAATTTTTAAAATACTCCTAGTAGTTTTTACGTGAATTACATACAAAAATACAAATCTTTTCATAATATTAGTATAGACGAAAGGGTTTTTAATGTAAAAATATAGTTCTTTACAAATTATGGTTTTCCCCAAGTGCATAAACTGCTCTTTGCGGTATTTATGGTTAAATTTAATTTAGTAATTACAATGCATTTTACCAAAGAAATATCGACAGTTCTTTTCCCACTAATGTCTCACGTTTCTTTTATAATAATACTAGCGTTCGCCTGTGACTCCGTCCGCATTTGTTCTTCCGGACTATCCTCTACGTCTATGCCAAATTTCATTGAGATCGGTTCAGCCGTTTAGGCGACAAACTCAAACAAACATATTATAAACTTTCGCATTTATAATATTAGTAAGATAGAAATGTATTTTATCGACAGTTGGTACTTCGGCGGCCTGTCCCGAGCTGAGGCCACGAAGTTACTTCTCAATGAAACGGAGAGCGGCGTCTTCCTCGTGCGAGACTCTAAGACGATACACGGAGACTATGTGCTCTGTGTAAGGTAAGTAAACACTAAAAGTAGAGACATGTTCTTTATATCTCCTTGAATTATACGAAAATAACGCCAGGAAACTTGAGTATTCACACCTCTATTCAATCTTTTTGGCTGACAGGGAGGTTGTATACAGTCAAAGAGGTGGCAAACTGACCACCAAGGCTTTTGCCTATTTGAATGTAAAAAAGTTACAGTAAAAAACAAAAGAAGCGCAGGAAGTGTTCACAAGTAAAGATTTGATTAAGATGAAAGGAATAATATTGGTGGTGGAGGAGACGCACTGAAAAGGGAAACATCCTTTTTATGCGCGTCTCCGCCGACGTCGATTAAGGGTCGGCAATGCATCTGCTATTGCGAATGCCTATGGGCAGTGGTTACCTTGCCATTTTGGCGGATTTAAGTGGCCGTTGGCTCGTTTGCCACCTTATAATATATATTAAAAAATAAATCATTACTAAATTACTTGTTTAGTTTGCTTGTCGATTAGGTGTAAATTATAATTCCGTGTGTGCAGGGAAGACGACCGCGTGTCGCATTACATAATAAACCACGTGGTGTCTGCGGATGGCAGCACGAGGTTCCGTATCGGTGATCAGCTGTTCGCGGATATGCCGGCGCTGCTTGCGTTCTACCGACTTCATTACCTGGATACCACGCCACTTGTGCGTCCGCTGCCGCAAGCACGCGCCCGCGCGGCCGCGCCCCCGCCGCCTCAACCACACACCGTGTTAGAGCTCGTCATCGCAAAGTTTGATTTCGTCGGCAGTGTGAGTACCAAATGATTCTATACACACGCTACTTCGTGGCGTAGGATGTCAAAATCACAGCATATTTCTAAACGCTGATATATTAAAAAAAATAATTCCAAGCAATAATCTATGATACATACTTATTTAATATTGAATCCATTCTTATTTTCTCCTTTCCCTTTTATTCCTCCTGTCATTCTCGCTTTCTGACTCCCCCTTTTAGTAACAAGCTTGACACAGCATACTAGTGACTTGGGTTGCAGTATTATGCAAGCATGCTCGCCCACGCGCCGTCGCCGCGTGCCAGCGGATATGTTTGATAATAACATTTATTTATATATCTGTTCTATCACTTACTTTCATGTCAATCGCTAAGGGCCTGTCCCGCCACTGGCCGATAGAGTCTCAGATAGCTTAAAAATGGCGTAACTGAATAGTTATCACCAAACCAAACCAGTTAGCACCAAAGTTATCAGACAATTTACTTAAAAACTGCCGACGCGATTTAAAAAAGTCTTTCACCATTACGAAGGTAATTTATCTGTAAATAACACAGGCATGTCTTATATAATTTTTAACTAGCTGTTGCCCGCGACTTCGTTCGCCTGGTATTAGAAAACATACGAACTATAAAAATAACAAAAAGCTACGGATCTCTCGGGAACCGGATACTTGTCGGGGATGAACCTTATCCCATGTGTACTCCAGACCTTGTTTTATATCTGTGCCAAATTTCAATAAGATATGTTGAAAAGTTGCAGAATGATTGAGTAAACATTAAAAAACTAAATTAATGAATCCCACGGGAACCGTAACTATTCCCGGGATAAAAAGTAGCCTGTTCTTCCAGACTATGCTCTAAACCTGTGCGAAATTTTATCGAGATTCTTTCAGCCGCTTAGGCTACAAACGCTAACAAACATCCATCTTAACTTTCGCATTTATAATATTAGTATGATATGATTTTACGGAGACGATGTCGCGAGAAAAAACTAGTGTTTTATAATATTATGTTTTAATGAACATAGACCTGTTTCTACATTGTCCAGTTATTTCTCGTAATTATTTTTATAATATAACGGACACGCCACTGGCTTTAGTCATTCGTCTGTACAGTCAGAGATGATAAAATGTGGCGCTAGTGTAGCTTTTATATTTTTCAAATGAGTAGGGTTAGCAAAAATATTTATTTGAATGACTTATGGTGATTAAATTTATGAACAATAGTCGATGTATTAAGTATTAAATAGACCAGGTTAGATTTTAAATCATTTTGAATTTAAAATTTTGCATTTTTCATAGTTTGAGCTTCCTGGCTCTACAGCACGTGTTTTGGCTCTATAAATAAACATATCTTGTTTATGGCCGCGATGTCTGGCGATGGTCGATGCCCGGTCTTGTTGTTATTTAGGCCGCGCCATTTTTAAAATCGCTGTCACGTAGGTCACAGCTAACTTCCTTTTCATAAAGGTCGATTTTGAATTGACATAGTTTCTAAAATTATAGGAAGATATAAGCACTTAATTGTATCTTTATTAGCTGTTGCTGGCGACTTCGCCAGCGTGAGATTAAAAATATATAGCCTATGTTATTCCCAGATAGAGCGTCAGTGGCTCAGTGGTTTAAGCACTTGACTTGTCAGGTCTTGTTCAATCTACAGATCTTGGGTTCGAATCCCGCCATGTACCAATGTGATTTTCGATTTTTCGAATTTTCATATGTACATAATTTACCCGACGTTCTTACGGTGAAGGAAAACATCGTGATGCAACCTGCACATATCGGCGAAGAAATTCAAAGATATGTGTGAAGTCGACCAACCCGCACTGGGCCAGCGTGGTTGACTATATTCTAGTCACCCTAATTTAGGATAGGCTCCAAGCCCCTCGGTGGGGAAATATAGTGAGCTGGTGATGATGATTCTCAAATAAATTATCATTCTAACGGTGTTATTAAAAAGTAAAACATCATTTTTTGTGAGCGCTGTGTACGCCTGTCATCTGTATGTTCTTCTGCTTCTTTGTTTCTCATTGTATACGGTATATTAATTTGGTTGTGAACCTTGAACATGCAATTGGTGTACCTTTCCAATAAATAAATAAATAAATAAAGAATTTTAGGCCCAGTAGTTTTTGAGTTATTTCAATAGGTACAAAAATACAAATTTTTCTTCTTTACAATATTAGTATATATTGGGATAGTTAGTAATAATAAAAGAGGCTTTTTATTGTTCTATGCATCCATACATAACCATCCATTTTATTTCGACTAAAGTCGACGACGCACATTTGTATATATTTACAATTAAATTGATTTGATTAATACATTTCAATGAATTAACCATTATTTGTTTTTACGTAAGAATTCATGGGAAATAATTGTTAATTACGAGGAATGGTTAACGTCAAGCAATTTATGGTAATTGTTCCATTATCACTCAGTAGAGGAAAATGCCTCGTTACGTCTAATTGAGGATAGGTAGAGATGGTTTTGGATTGTACACAAGATTTAACTTTTTTTACTAATATTAGCTGTTGTCCGCGACTAAGCATTCGTGAATAAAAAAAAATATACTAAAAATATAGCCTATGTTAGTGATGACATAGCTTCTTAATAGTAAATAGGTCCAGTAGTTTTTGAGTTCAATACATAAAAAAATAAAAATTTTTCCTCTGTATTAGTATAGTGTATGTATTAGTATAGATGGCTCAGTGGTGACACTTGACTTGTTATCTACAGGTCTTGGGTTCGAATCCCGCCATGTACCAATGCGATTTTCGATTTTTCGAATTTTCATTTACCCGACGTTCTTACGGTGAAGGAAAACATCGTGATGCCTGCACATGTCGGCGAAGAAATTCAAAGATATGTGTGAAGTCAACCCGCAGTGGGCCAGCGTGGTTGACTATGGCTTAGTTACCCCCTTATTAGGGTAGGCTCCGAGCCCCTCGGTGGGGACGTATAGTGAAGCTGGTGATGATGATGATGATGATTAGTATAAATATAGATAAATGTGAAAGTTTAGATAAATGGATGTTTGTTAGAGTTTGTAGCCTAAACGGCACAACCACAACTCTCACTCTATAAAATTTGGTATAGACGTAGAGGATAGTCTGGAGGAACACATACTCACTTTTGTTTTTTTTTATTCTACCACACGGAGTCGCGATCGAAAGCTAGTTTACTTATATTTGTGATAAAATAAAGCAGAGTTTGTTCAGAGTTATTGCCTCGTAAAACAGAAAACTTGGCAACAGAAGATAATGTGTGCCTTTAAGCCTGATTATACACTTTATAATTATCTATCTATACTATTATAATAAAGCGTAAACACACACTTCTTTGTTGCTTAAGATGTCAGCAATTACACTATATTTTTGAATAACCCCTTTTTTTTGATGAAACGCCCTACACTTGCTACACGCTTTAGGCTATATATTTCCACGCCATTAGGCTTAGGGGTAAATATAGTAGATAGAATAATTAATGTGGGAAAGAGACCATAAGTTGCTACCAACATCAAGGAAGCAAGATTGCCATATTAAGTTAATTGGTGCTTTGACATTTGCAATTGAGAATTTGACAAATGTAAACCATAAAATAATGTTTTTTAATTCCATGCGGGTGAAACCGCACGGGAATAGCTACTTATTAATAATTCAGATTATTTTCCGTCGTTTAAAAAATAATTATATTCTGATATAGTTTATGTTTTAGCAAAATAACTATCTTACTAAATAATTCCCTGGATGTTATGAATCGCCAGTTATTCCCCTATTTATTGTATATTCATGTCGAGTATAAATAGTATTTACAAATAAATGTATTTTTTTTTAAATTTCAAGATAAGCGGAAATAGTTCCTCAATATGAGAATCTATTAAATTGCAATATAATATGTCTTACTAGTAATTAAAAATGTGAAAGGTTGGTCGAAAATTTATTACTAAATATATTAAAAACGGCATATTGTATCTCGATGAAATTTGACACAGTTGTAGAAATTGGAAGAACACATGCAACTCAATATCTTTTTGACCGACTTCCCAAAAGAAGGAGGTACTCAATTCGTCTGTATGTTTTTTTATTTTTTTTTATTATTATACGTGGATGAAGCGCAGACGAAAGCTAGTCGTTTTATAGGCACCAGTGTGTTCACAGCCTTATGTGCGTTACGATGGCAGATTTCAAAAGGCGATCAGTTTTTAATGTATTATACAAACTGGGTTTATAGTCTGAATTATATTTACTTATTGATGAACTGGTTTTCGAGTCTTTCATACTAATGTTGGTCATCGTTTTGTGTTGAAAGTATTGTGTAAAATTACATTGACGTCTGGTAAGGTTTGTTTTCAGTACCGTTTCCTAAATAAATACAATATGCGTTAAAATTTCTTAATTATAATTATTAATTCCCTTTTTGATCATGTCTCCTTTCACGCAATCCATCTCTTTCTATGTCTACCTCTAACGTTCTCCTTGTTACATGCGATTCCCTCCTCATAACATGCTCATACCATGCTAACCTTTTACTCCTTACCTTCTTTACTACTGAGGCTACTCTCAAACTTCCTCTAATATACTCATTATCTTCTTTAGTCAAAGGTTTTCACTGTAAGTTAATTTTAGGATGCTGACGATCTACCCTTCCGTCGTGGTGAACGACTGATGGTGATCAACCGTGATGAGGAGCAGTGGTGGACGGCGCGGAATGCTCACGGACGCACGGGCTCCATACCAGTGCCCTATGTGCAGAGGGTATGTACTTCTTACATGTAGGAGACGTTCACACACCTAACTTTTTTTTTAGTAAAAATATTAGTACATTTTATTGTTAATGTATGTATACAAATATTGTATGTCTTACAAATGTTATAAATGTGAAAGTTTAATATGCATTGATGTTTGTTAGAGTTTGTAGCCTAAACGGCTGGATGGACATCGATGAAATTTGGCATAGATGTAGAGGATAGTCTGGAAGAACACATAAAAAAAATTGCAGTACATTTTTAATATTTCTTTCTTGAATAAAAAGCCCTACACTTACGACATGGCTATTTTCACGCTATTAAACTTATGGGGTTAATAAATTGAAATAAAAATGTTCGTATGGGAAAAGGACCATAAACAGTAACAGAGTAACCCTTCGTGCTAGTCTTAATTTTTTTTCTGGTGGGAAGGAAAACTATTTAATATAGAAAGAGAAAATTTCCCTTTTCTGTGCACCTCTTTCATAGATAAAAAGTGCGCATTTGCGTATCTGGCCAGTGGTCTTCTTCACCATTTCAGATTTAGATGGCCGTTTGCTTTTATGCCACCTAAATATAAAAAAAAAACAGAAATATGTTAAATAATAGAGGTTCTTATAGTGTTTTGTTATATGCTTGTGTTGATGTCGTTGGTAATTAGATCCTAGACGCGTCGGGTGCGCCGTACCCGCCGGCGGAGGCGCTCAGCCAGCTCGGCGACCCGCCCAGCCCGCCCGGCGCGCGCCACCCGCAGCAGCGCACCAACATGCAGGTGAATTACTGCCTTTCATTTAATCTATCATCATCATCATCATCATCACCAGCTCACTATGCATCCCCACTGAGAGCCTCGGAGCCTGCCCTAAGTTATAGGTTACTAGGTCTTAGTCTACCACGCTGCCCTGCGGGTTAGTCGACTTCACATATATCTTTGAATTTCTTTGCTGATAGGTGCAGGCATCACGATGTTTTCCTTCACCGTAAGAACATCGGGTAAATTATGTACATATGAAAAATCGAAAATCACATTGGTACGGCGGGATTCGAACCCAAGATCTGTAGATTGCAAGTCAAGTGCTTAAACCGCTGAGCCACCGCTCTTTAACCACTCTTCTCTCTTTAATCTGTACTAATATGTCATCATCAACTAGCCCTTATCCCTACGGAGGGTCGGCACAATGCTGCTCTTCCATACATTCAGCTGTCATATCTGAATCCACTCTTTGTCAAAGGAGCAATACTTTTTGTAATTTCATGCTAATAACGCTGCATGTGTTCCTCCGCTCGTTGTTTAGGAAATTGTATTGTTTAGGAGATATCATTAAAAGATAATATACGTTTAATAAGCAAAAAATTAATTAAAAGAAACTTTTAACACGTGAATTAACATAAAGACAATCTCTCAATCTGTGACAGCTGTCAAAGAGTATAGAATAATGACAACACTATAACATCAAAGATCAAATAATCATTGCTGTTTTGATTTATGGTTTGACACTTAAATAGTATCTTTGTATCATAAATTATGTTTTAATACACGTCCTTTGTAACAAAATTTTTCGAAGTACAAAATATAATAGTCGTTTATATTTATTTGGTCTAATGATGTTTTTACGTATTCCAGCAGCGGTCGCTGCCGGCGCTGGCGCGCGTGCGACAGACGCGTGTTCCCAACGCGTACGACAAGACAGCACTCAAACTGGAAGAAGGAGATATTGTAAAGGTATGTACTATACACGAGATTAGACTAAAATATCTCACAACAGTTATGCGATTGTCGATTTTTCCGCAACTGTTTAGTTGCACAATTAAAAAATGAGTAGTCTGCGCTCCATATAAGCTCTTAGGAATAGTTTAGTCAAAGGGGTGCACGCGCTCTAATAGTGCACCTGTCGCCTAAACTTTCTTACACTCTTAATTCTTTGTTCCCTTAACAATTCAACTTAAGTAATTATAAAAAAATGTGAAATCTATACTTGTATGTAATTTCGTAGTTTATGCATTTTCGTATACCGTTAGTATTTAAAATATATTTATGTTTTCAGGTAACCAAAATGAACATCAACGGACAGTGGGAGGGCGAGCTGAACGGCAAGATCGGACACTTCCCTTTCACATACGTCGAGTTTCTGGACGACACTGCCAGCTAAAGAAATATCTATTAATATATTATACCAATGTGTTTGTGATCATTTACAGTGATACTAGCAACACAAAGAATTATGTTATCTGTTAAATGAATTGACAGTATCTGTGCAATCTGACATTTGAACGCTGTTTAATCTATGGGATAACGCTGTTTGATCTATGAAAGTTGTGTTTAATCTGTGGCAGAACGCTGTTTAATCTATGACGGATGTGTTTAATCTGTGGCAGAACGCTGTTTAGTCTATGACATGTGTATAATCTGTGGCAGAACGCTGTTTAATCTATGACATGTGTATAATCTGTGGCAGAACGCTGTTTAATCTATGACATGTGTAATAATCTGTGGCAGAACGCTGTTTAATCTATGGACGTGTCGCGGTGACAATTTGCCCACCGAGCGCTCGGGCTATGTTAATTGTAACGCTGTTTTATTGCTTGTATTTTGGTAACATTTTTATATTATGTTATACGACGGATCCTCGTAGTTTAAGATACGCACATTTTTAACCTGGTTTTTATTTAATCTATAAATATGTTGGCTTTTTTCTTTGCCTATAGCATTTTAATGTTATATTTTAAAAAAGCTTTTAAATCAAAGATTCGATCTTTAATCGTTGAGATAAAAATGCATTAATAAATAATTTATCGGGCTCGAAGGATCAAAAATTCTAACTGCTAGTGAAAACACGCCTTAATTTCCCAAATAATAAGGAATTGACTAATACATCGAAAAGTTATCAAACTTTTGTACTATTTAAATGTTTTTGTACTTTAAATTGGATACAAAGTACATAATAAATTATTTCACTATATTGTTCCGATACACAATTTATATAGTTGTTTACAGTTTAAACCATTTATATATTTGTACACAGTACCTATTTTATTATTGCAAACTGACACAAGTTTATATTAAATTTTATACGGATAATATATGGCCGGAATTTTATATAGGTATAAATTTAAAAAAAAAAACATTTAATAGCTTATAATTCAATGTAACAAAACTAACAGATTTAGCATTCTGGGCTATAACAAAAATTGCATGATACAAAAATAAGGGATTTTATTATTTTATTTTAGGGCAACTGCAATGGCGAATGTTCAAAATTATATTTATATTAAATTATCTTGCTTGTTTTATAGAATTATTATCTACGTTTTCGATTTAAATATAGTTTACAGTCAGCTTAAATACTTAGTTCCAAAAACTTGTATACAAACACGACCATACGTTTCTAAAACGTGGGCGTGTTTGTATACTTGCGGCCATAAATGTATTTTTTGATGGTTAAATGTATTTTTGATATAGAAATCGTTAAATTTATGTTTTATAAACGTATAAAGCTGACTGTACATCAAAATTTTATTTTTAAGTATAATTTGTTCACTGTCTTAAGAATTTATTTCGTTTCTTATGTATATCTCTTTCCTTTCTTTTTTTATAATATCTTTGTTGCTGTATTTAATTTTGTTTACGAAAACGTATTTTCATAATAATTCTAAAAACAGTAACACTTCCAAATTATAGTCAATATTTTTATATTTGCTGATGCAATGATTTTTTTATATTATTACTTTCGTATTATAAAGGCTAAGTTTAATACATTTTTATATTTACTTATAAAAGTCGAAGTCCCAAACATAATTAAAATGGCCATCGACGAAATCGTAAATTCAAATTCGACTTCTAACTTGAAAAAATAGTAAACAAAAATATTTAAATAACGGCTGTTTACGATTCCTGGATTTTTGTACGACTTTTTTAATGTTAAAACCACTGATCTACACATGGATAGGTTATAAAACGGACTTGAATTGATAATAATAGTATTGTTTTTCTTAAAATGTTAGTAGATTTTTGTTAATTTACTAATATTTCCTTTATATTCGCTAAGCTGTAGGCTTATGCTAGGATATGGTTTTCAATAGTTGTGTCGGGATTCGAACCCACGACTGCAAGATCTGTAGTAGACGCTTAGTATGTGAGACGACGTTTTAAAGACAATTTATTTAACCCGGGCATAAGTCTATCTAAATTGCTCACTAGCGCCCTAATGGCCGGTTTCCCGGCTCATTTAACAATGCGTTTTTCGATAACCGTTAAATCCGCTTCCGAACGAACTAAGTAAAGATAAAATAAATGGTAACTTCAGAAACCCAGCATGAGTCAATGGATTCAAGTGAAGATACTTGTAAAATTCGAATCCCGCTGAGATTTTTGAATTTCATATGTTCGTATATTAACCAACGTTTTTACGGCTAAGGAACATATCGTGATGTCTATATCCGCTAAGAAATTCAAATCTTCATCCTTATCTTACTCCAGTAGGGTCGGCACAACAGGTTTTTGTCCTCCAAATAACTCTATCATACGTCATCTGTCATCACTCCTTTGATCATGTCACCTTTCTCGCAATCCATCTCTTTCTAGGTCTCCCTCTACCGATGTACCACACTCGTAACTAACGTCCTTGTAACATGCGATTCCCTCCTCATAACATGCCCTCATGCTAACCTTTTACTCCTTACCTTCTCAACCACTGGGGCTACTCTCAAACTTCCTTTATTATACTCATTTCGTATTTGAGAAATTAAAATGCTATGTATAAAATCAATAGTGCAGCGTGGTTGATTAAGACCTACCCCTAACTTAGAGTAGGCTTCGACCCTCAGTGGAGATATATTCCGGATAATTACTAGTGATCTGTTAATTTAAAAGTCTCTTTGAGTATGGCTGTTCTAAAAAGAACCAAGCCATTTTCTATCTCCGTATAGATTTTACATATTTTCTCAAACAATCGGAAGTTATGTTTTTGTTTGAGCATAAATTAGAACAAGTTTATTGGAATTTTTATACCTATCTATGTATAGTCAGTGGTGAAAACTCGGAGTAAATGATGGTAACTTGGTTAGTATTGGTTTATTGCATACTTATATATTGTGGTTTTTACCATGAATTGTATATGATATACTAAAGTATATGAGATTATAAAACATTTTGTATGTATTTTAAGTGTCGTAAATTGGATTAATCTAATTTTTTTTAAGTTATGTGTAACAGTTTAGTAATAATAAATTTTAGGAAGAATTATTTATGTGTTTTATTCATAGATTTAACCCAAACGTCCACGTGGAATTTAAAAACTTGAAAATGTACCGTAGCAGTGGAGATTTCTAATGTTAAGAGTTTTTGAAATCATTTTCATAGTTTGTGAGTTTTTGTTTCATGATGTATGGAAGAGCAGCACATGCCGACCGTAAGGGATAATAAGGGCAAGTGGATGATGAGAGTTTTTGTTTCATAAAAAAAAATTAAAACCTCTCGTATTCGTCTCGTCGTTATGTATTGTAAAAATTAACCCCATTTTTCATAAAAAAAAGGGTCTGATTGTCATTTTTTTGTTATAATAAACGGGGTTAGTTTTATAAAAAAACATCTGGCCAAGGCTTCTCTCTTTCTCGAAGAGCTTCAAGGCACTTTTGGACACTCCTGTACCTACATTGTGAATGAAGATAGAAGGTTGACATTTTGAACATCAATAGATATACCATAATTCATTAGACTGCCGAAATATCTTTGAGTTACATGTAAAAAGTAATCTTAAAGAAAAAGTATCTTATTAGTCATGTCATATTTTAACTTTGACTTTACGAGTCTTCACTAGTTATTTAGTAAAAAAAAACAAATTCATGTCAATTTTTTTATTTATATGAAAACAGTTTTACAATGTTCCTTTTTAAACAATAAATAGATAATTAATGAATATCAATTTAAATACGATTGACGGAATAAATATATTTTTTGCTTTACGCTTTTTTTCCGTATTTACAAAATTATATACAATCGAATGTCCCAAACTAGCCTTAACGACTTGAATATAAAAATTTATTTAATAAACAAAACGTTACAAGTACAACTTTGTACATATATTTACAGATATCGAATATTTAAGTCATAAGAAATTAAGAAAGGGACATTTATATCGCGAATAAATTCTATGTACACAATATTAAACAACGCAATATATTTTATATTTATCAAGAAAATGTAATAAATATTATTCTAATAAATATTTAAATAATTTAAAAAATACTGGCAGAATATTAAAGAGGCCATTAAATATTTAAGAACAAGAAATTTTTAAAAAGATAAATTAAACTTGGCACTGTCAGGTATAGGAAGCATCTATTTAGCTATAGAAAGAAATTAAAAATAAAGAAATAATTACAAGCAATTCTTTATTTGTTTTTAAACTCTTTAATAAAAACTTTAGTTTTTATTCGAAACTGCACGTCATTAATACCTTTGTCGATTTTGAAAAAAGAAAAAACAAATTCAAAACGTTCCAAATTTAAAATAATGGAGTTGGTTAGAAATTACTTATTTCTAAGGAATGTGGTTCACGGTTGTATGGACATAGGAGTCACAATTCGAGTCATCCAACGAAAATAGTTACATCTAAGCACGTAACCTTTTTCGTAGAATGAAATACTTACTAAATCGTATATACCGAATTTAAAGGGCACTTACTAGGGGCTTAAAACTAATACGGTAAAGTTACATTGAAAAATTACGGGTGTAAAAATTTTTTAGAATATTCGAATCTTATACATTTTATAAAAATCTTATCATGACTTTTGTCTTTTAAGAATTATTACAAGATATCTGGCCCGGTGGGCATAAATGGAATTAAATTATGACGACTCACTAACGCCTTCTTTTTATAGTATTTTATATGTAGTAGATGTGGTTTTTACATATTTTCTGACAGAAGTAAACGATACCCTCTCACTGGGCTAGACATCCTTGTTCGAATATAAGACCCTATTCATGAAGTGTGTCAGAAATATTCTAATGAATTTAGAAAAGAAAAAGCAATCTTTTAAATTTGAATCCTATGGTTTCCTGTGCCGAAACATACAAGCTACCAATCTCTATAAATAGACAGGATATAAGATATTACTTTCTACGTATTTGCGGTTGCGGTGGCGAAAATTGGACCTAATCGTAGGGATAGAATTAGCTGTCAATAATAGGCGCATTTAAATTGTAATGAAGAAATCGCTGGAATTTAAACCTATCCATTTATACCGACCAGTGAGATAAACACATTCTCTTCCGTAGTTAACGACGAAAACATATTTTCGTGTATTGTTTCGGCAGAAAAACCTAACTAATTCTTATATTGAAGGATAAATGGATAAGTCTTTGATTGTAATATTGTCTTTCGGATAGATTGGGACCCTAATTAAGAATTATACAAAATTGGTATTAAAAGGTAATATGCGTACTAATAAAGACATTATCTTACAGAATTATGATTCCGTAGATTTGATTAGTATTTCCCGTTGGACTGATCTGCCTAATGGTATTATTTTCCGATCGGACCAACGGGCAACATTATATCGTTACTTTATGCAATTAATGTTTCGAAAACTCTCTTTACTTACTTTTAATACTTTAACAACGTATAGAACAAATTCTCTCAGGTTCCAAAGTTCTAAAGCTAAATTTAACATTATAAAGGCAAGGAAAGGATAAAGTTTCAAACTGTTAAATTCCGTTACATTATCAATTCATTATACAATCTTAACCAATATAAGGTGATTTTTCAATGATTCTGCAGTAAACTATAAACTATAGTTTAATTGTACTTGTTGTTTTACTAAATTTAGTGGCCCATCCACAATATAACTAATACTACAGCACTAGAAATCTCACTTTTCACTGTGATATACACAGTTATCATTGTTAATAGCTCCTAGTCTTGTATGGTCGAATACTTTTTTAAATTCTCCAAAAAGGCTAAGGTTATATAGGAAATAAATAAAAATTTGAGCATCGTTAATGTGTCAGACAACGGTGTAGTACAAAACTCTACTTAATTTAAACGAGCACCGGTTTACGCTTGCGTTTTCTTCTGTGCCGCCTCGTGTGACAGTGACATTTGTCTGCGACTTGACAGCTGTGACGTCCGTGACTTGCGTCGTGGCCGCCATGTTGCGTGACGTCACTTGCGCGCACGGTGCAGAGCGCGGCTGGTGCTATAACCGCTTGAAGGCGGGCGGCATCGCGGCCGGCTGGTGGAAGGGGTGGTACTGGCGAGCTAGGATATCGCCCTATAACAGCCCAAGTATTAACCTATACATTCGTTAATATGTAAGGTTAACACTCTTCCTACACCAACACTACATCACATGCAATTAAACTACTCAAATCCACACTCAGAATCGCTAAATGTTACACAAGCTGTCCTTCAGTCGTCACTAAAGTACGCTCTTACTACGTCTGAGTGCAGCTGTTAGTATTAGATAAAAGCGCATTAACAAGGAAAGAAGTCGACTAGTACAAAATAGATTACTTTAATGTTGAAAGTAAGATTTCCGTAAAAGGAATTTAGTATTAATTTAAATTTAGATGATTTTCGCACTTACATATCTCAGATTGTACGCAAGGGAGAGGGGTAATGTTGTTTGTTATAACATTTGTTAAAATGATATAATAGTTTGTACACCAATTATCAATACTTACAACTTGTGGCTGTTGGTTGTGCGCTTGTTTCAAATTTCTCTCTTGTATCATCAATTGATGTGCGGCTCTGTGACAAATATTAATTTAAAAACACAAACATTCTGTCTAAATTAACTAAATGAAGAACATTCTCTCATCTGTCTAAGTTTTTTTCATAAATAGAATAATTGTCTAAACCACGTTTGCCTTTTGGACTAAATAAAGCCCCAGTGAGTTTTCAAGTCAGTTTCAGTTGATGCAATTTTTTTTTACTGAATGGCTAAAACTGTCTATTCTAGTGTTTGTGATCGTAATAACAATATTCAAGTTTTATAGTTTTAAGAATTATTCATACCTGTCCATTTGCTCTTGTGTCATTTCGAGTGCTTCTTGCATCTCTCTAGATGTGTTCCGCACAAACTCCGGGTCGCAGTACGCGGCGAGGCCTTGCTCAGCTAATACCTATGTAAATAAGTATAAAATGCATAATGAAATATATGTGTTTATCTATATAATTGTATTCTGTTAAAGTAGCATTGCATTAAACTTGTTGATAAACCGTGGCTCAAAGAATGGGAATTGATAGATATTGAATCGGTCCTAAATTGGACATTATTTATTGCTTTTTTTCAGAATTTGCTTTTAATTTTTGGTAGTCAATACCTAGCAGGATTACAACTGAATGACGTTTATTCTAGAAGGAATTTTAGCACGTCTTTACTGATATGCACACATATGCACACATATGCACTTGAATGTATTCACTTGGTACTTGTTTGTGAGAACATCATCATAGAGGCGTACTAGATGGCCTGTTTTGGTCTTGTAGTACCAAGTAACTTACCCTGGTGACGAGACTCTCTGCAGACCCCACAACGGGCACGGACACGCTGTTCCCGCGCGGGCTGCCCGGCAGGGACACCACGCCGCGTACGCAGTTATCTCCCCCTGGTTTGTAATTACACGTTACGGGGATTTGTAGATTACACAGTTATGCCATAGTGTTGCCATTTAAAGTACTTGAAAATGTATAATTTCGTTAAAAAAATCCTGTGACAATTTACAGGTTTTCATGCTAATTATCATTTTTTTATAAAATAGTCTAATTTTCACGATAATTTGGAAAATAGAGTTAAATATATTTTGTGTTTAAAACTAATTTTCGTTTAATCTAATTTAGTTTACTATTTCTACTCTAAATGGTTTCTTTAAAATTTTCTATTTAAGCATTAACATCTTTACAAGCTTTGGCTTTTGAAAGCACGCCTCTTCTAATTTTTACTATAATTTAAAACTAAATCATGTGATTCTTATGCTTTCTAATCTTCAAAGCTCTTAAGCTCGACTTTTTCTAACTTTAAGCAAGAAACATCTAAATCAGTCAGTGTTTTTGTGATTTTTGTTTTATGATTTTGTCGTGCAGTGAAAGCATTTCTTAAATCTTCAGTCCCTGTCTAAAAAAGCTTTCTATTCTATACTAGTTGCAAAACTATTTAGCTGTCAGTGAAAACATGCTTCTTTTGGTGGTTAAATATACTGTTAGATTTAATTAGAATCGTTAGTAATTCGATTAGAAAAAATGGTTTTTGAAACATACTTTTTTCTATCAATTTGTGCAAAGTGAATATATTTGGTGTATGATATGAGCTTTTTCTAAGCAAATATGTGAGTAATAGCTGTGTTTACGCACGCTATTACTTTTAGTGTTTGTTTTGTAAGCTTGACTCATGTGATCTTTCGGTGAACGGTTAAGGAAGTTTCTTTCGAGTTTACAAGTACTTAATATGTTCTTCATTTCGTAACTTACTTTATAGTTAATCAGTAGCTTTTAAGTTATCAACCTTGACAGATAAAAATACAATTAATCATAGGCATGTACGGCTTTTATCAAATTGTTAAATTCAAAATCTAGTTTAACAAATTTAATAATTCTAATTATCGTATTTCAATTATATTGAAATAATATATTTAAAAAACTAGAATAATCATCAATCCAAAATCCAAAATTGATAGTTATAAAGGGGTCAAGGCGCCACAGGCCACAGTGGAAGGGAAACTTCGTGAACCGCGTGCGGACCTGGCGAGCGCGGGCGATCTACTTTGCGGGCGGGGGCATGCGTGGCCGCGCCCGAGGACGCGCTGCGCACCATCCGACCTGCCCGCACGCGCATGCTGCGCCGCTCGCGCGCCCGCTCCCGCTCCCGCTCCCGCGCGTGAGAAAACGCGAACGGCAGCTTCGCGGCCGCGTTGTATCCGTACAGCGTCATCGTCTGCGCCTCAGTCGTCGGCGTGCACTCGCTCGCCAGCAACGGTGATATCTTCGGCTGGATTGCTTCCAACATCGGTGAGGGTGTTTTATCTTCGGGAGATGCTTTCTTCGGTATCGCTAACATTTCCTTCGAAGACGAATCTTCTGGATGTATCTTTTGACGAGACACCACAGTCGGTTTACTCGAAGTGTCAGGTGTTGATAGATAATTCACGCAACCGAACGCTAAGCCGATTTGTCCAAGCATTTCCGGATAGTTAGATTTCTGATTGCTGTTACATACCGTGATCCGAGTGAAAGCAAAACAAAAGTACAAGTGTATTGTTAGACAGGTTAGTAAGTGCTCGAGACGAAGGGGATCGAAGAAGTAAATGGAAAGATCACTCTAGATAAAATCACACGTTTCACTACCTTTGTAAATAGCGTTCTTAAGATCGTTTGTTGTTCTTCTGCAATATAAGCAATGCTAGTTTAGAATATATTCAGTTAATAATAATATCAATTGCGTTGATAATGGATGACATGAATATGTGATAAGTTATAATCATACTTACTCAAGCACTTGGTATATTTTCTCCGACTCTCCATTTAGTATTAGCGGTCTCAGTGGTATCTGTTCTTTTGGTTGCCCGTTAGCCCTGTTGATGTAAATTTTATCTAAAAAATACTGCCAGACTAATATAATAATTGTCTAAACCTGGTATGCCTTTTGGATTAAATAACGCACCAGCTACTTTTGAAATCATTGCATTTTATGATGAAAATAGAGGTAAAAAACTTACAAATTCGGTGCAAGAGGCATCGGCCCTACTCCATATTCCTTCTGCATCATTGAACTTAGATGATTACCAACGGCTTCTGAAAGTATATATATATTATTAGGGTCAATTTCAAAATAATGTAAGTTTGTTTAAATAATTCTTCCTACCTGTTGGACCCTCTCCCGGTTTCCTGTGCCGATTGAAATGCTTATTAGGTCCATGTCTTCGTATACTTGACCAAACACCGCCGAATAATGAATGATTTCTCTAAAATTAAATTAGGTATTAGTTACTTTCTAAGAAGCCAAAAAGTGGTAACCTAATCATTACGAAGTAATGGAAATTTCTCTGGTTCAAATATTTTTTTATACTTACAGGTAATAACAATTGAAATATTCTTTATTACCATTTTCTAAAACACGCAAAGTAAATCACGCAAATGCGCGATGTTTTTTGCTCGGTGATTCTGGGAATTAGGTTTTCTGCTCGAAGGACCAAAAACTTGGACTATTAAAATATTCGATACTAGCTGTTGCGCCACTTCATCCACGTGGAATTATTAAAACTTAGTAAAAAAATAGCCTATGTTACTGAATAGTTATTTAGCTTTTTAGTGGGGTAAGAATTTTTTAAATCTCCCCAATAGGTTTTGAGTTATTTCAATAGTTACAAAAATATAAATCTTTCCGATATTTACAGATGCTGATTTGCGTAGTATTTAGTAGTAATATATTACCCTATGCATAGGCACGTCAGTATCCGCGGCGATATCGTCCAGGTTCCCGGAGATGGCGCGCTTCAGTTCAGGGCCGGCCTCGTGTAGCGTGCGCAGCCCCGCCTGCAGCGTCATCTGGTGGTTCTGCTCGTCGCTTTGACGCATCTCTTGTTCCTTACGTTTTTTGAACCTTACGATAAAAAAAAACATTTCCAATTTGCACCCGAAATATTCGACGACTTGGATTCTATTTGGTGCCGCGCTCATGGACTCTTAGATAAGTCCGCTAGAGGCGCTAATGTCGGCGATGTGATTGGTGGAGCTGGCACGTGACGGGAAATGGAACACACCGGAAGCAATGGAGCGATGTACTCTTATAAAATGGACTTCTGACATCTTAGGAAACATAATATAATTCTAATAGTATATATATAATATAGTATAATTTCATTATTCTTTCGGCTGTATTTTTTTTTAGTTACTTACTTGATTTCCTTGTAAGCTCAACTAAAGTTAATCAATAAAATCTAGAATGTTCTTTATACAAAATTTCGTATTAACTTGTTTATTTTTTTTTTAATAATCTGATAGTGTTGGTTCGAGGTTATTTTAAATTTTTAAATATCTAAAATATAAAAAACTAGTGCCTAAATCGTGAATTTCGATCGCTTCTAAAACTAAATCAAAAAAGGGGGAAAACACAATTTGGTGTAATTAGGATAGGTAAAAAAATCAAAGATCTGTTTTTTTTGCATGCTTAATTCGTTAATTTAGCCCGTGATTATGGCTGGGGGTATATAAATTATTTCAAAAGAAAAAGAAATTAAACTCCATGTAGGATCATGCGGGAAATAACCCAAATATAAAAAAATAGGAAAAATTTCCTAACAATTTTCATGTTTTCTAATGTGTTGTCTATTTTGAATTCGGTATCTATGTATAAAATGATTTGCATTGTAAAATTCAAAAACTCTAAAGGGGCAAAAACATCCTAAACACATACATTTCTTTATTGATGTTACTTACGCGTGATTCCTATGGAACAGAAATATACAATCAGTTTTACATTTTATTTGATTTGTAAACACATAAATATACATTGACATACGAGTAATTCTTTCAACACTCAATTATTCTACATTCCAGTAGAAATTTGTAGTAAAATGTTTATTTCTAATGTGTATGTTGAAACTTTAATAACAATATTTTAAAAGACAAACTAATAAAATAAATAAAAAATAAGCAACCTGAAAAATTGTATAATTTCAACCATTTCTCCTGATAATATTGTTATTACAGGCTAAAAATTTGGAACTTAAAAACATTTTGACTTTAAAAGGCATCTTCATCATACCAAGTCAACTTGTTAATTCGTTAACAAACTGTCTTAAATAGACCATAAAAGATGAAAATCTCTTTCTCTCGTTTTAACCAGAGAGAGAGAGAGAGAGAGAGAGAGAGAGAGAGAGAGAGATTCTGTACATTTTGACTATAGCATAGTGATTCTTAGAGTAGTTCAGTGGGGACGTATACTGAGCTGGTGAAAGCATACCTTCTGAAGTAGTCCTGTATGAGGAAGGTGGCGTAGAACTTGCCGACGGTGATCTCGTTGGGGTCTCCCGGCGGCGGCACCACCTGGTCCAGCAGCTTGGGGGAGGTTCGCTTCCAGATCTTCTTTATCACCGCGCGCAGCTCCGTGTTACAGTCGTCGATGTTACCTAGCGTAAATAAAACTGTTAAGTAATCTATACTATAAAGAGGAAACATTTTTATTTTTTTAATTCTATGTGGACAAAGTCGCAAACAACAGCAAGTTTCTTATAAATCGTACCATCAGTTTTGATTTTCAATGAAGTGCGGACGACAGCGAAGAGAGTGGCATTGAAGAGGACAGTGCCATCAGAATTGAGTGGCATGTTCATACTGACGAGACGCTTGCATGCCACACGATGAGGACAAAGTTTGCCGAAACCTGAAAACAGTAATAAACTATCTTACTAATATTATAAATGCGAAAGTTTAGATGGATGTTTGTTAGACTTTGTAGCCTAAACGGCTGATCGGATTTCGATGATTGTCATAGATGTAGAGTCTGGAAGAACACATAGGCTACACTTTTGTTTGAATTCCAAGCGGATGATGTCGCGGGCAAAAGCTAGTAATTAATATTTCGTTATTTAGTAAAGATACTTTGTCTAATTTGTCTAAGAAAGTCCCTTAGCGTAGTTTATATTGAATACCACTTAATAACTTGAAGTGAAGTTAAGTTTCTCGTACACTTACCTAATGGTGGGCTAATTTTTCTTAACAAAGTGACAACATCTAAATGTTTAATCCGACCCTTAGCGTCCGGGTCGTATTCACTCCATAACCTACAAATTAAACAATTGTTTTACGTTAACAAAATATAGGATTGTAATAAAATTATACATAATTACAAATATGTTAATACTCAGTTTATTCCTAAGTTTTTACCGCGTTTATTTGTAAGGCTGTGAGGTAAATTGTTACCTTATAAATTCATCTAAGTGGTGTGGTCCCAGAATTGACCAGTCTCTTGTTAAATAATCGAAATTATCCATAATTACTGCTACGAATAGATTGATGATCTGAAAGAGAAATCAAAATATTATTACAAGGCGACAAGAAACCACTTTGAGTTACTATGACAAAAACGTTTAAAAAAAACCTGAATAGAAAACAATTGAAGGTACCAGATATTTCTAATGTTTTCTTTTTTTTATCTAACAATATTGTATACCTATATTTGTATATAACAGGATTTGTTATCATTCTTGTGTCATATTTAAATCCCTTTCTCTTTACCACCCTTTTCTTATGAGAGGATGGGAAGGGGGAAGTGGATTTGACGGTGGAGGAGATGCATAGGAAGAGGAAATATCCTCTTTATGTGCGTCTCCTCCTCTGTCGGATAAGGGTAGGCGACGCATCTGCAATTACAGATGTCTATGGGCAGCGGTCGCTTCGCCATTTTGGCGGATTCAGGTGGCCGCTTGCTCGTTTGCCATCTTAGGTAAAATAAAAAAAAATATATTTCTTATATGATTGTTTAATAACTTATCTGTTGATGTATTTCATAAATTAATAAAAAAAAAACTAAAATAGCATAATTAACAAGTTTTAATATTTCTTAAAACCGCGACAAAAACCCGTCCTATTTCACTAACTAGCACAATTTATTTACAGTGTATTCATTATATTTTAGTATGTTTTTAGTATTTGCAGTTTTTAAAACCGCGACAAAGCTCCGTTTCGTTTCTCTAACGCAACATATAAGTTCAGTATACCGACCAGGAAGGAGCAGAGCACGTAGAAGGAGATGAAGTAGGGGAAGGCGAGCACGGAGCCGCACGTGCCCTCCTCCTCGCCCGCGCCCTCGCCCTCGTCCGCGTAGTTCCGGTCGCAGCGCACCTCGGGCTCCGGCGACACGCCCATCATTATGTCCTGCCACGCCTCTCCTACCACACAACAAAACCAAAACATTTCGTAAAATATATATTTGACGCTGTAACACTCAGGGAAAGAAAATAAATCGAATAACATTTAAGAGCGGGCAGACCTCTGACTAAAGAATCGTGCAATGGTGCGATTGTCAATTGTTTCGTAGTTCACAAATAATCAGAGGAATCAAAACGAGATCAAACGGTTGTACGATAGTTTAGTCAAAATAGGGTCAGTTGTGTAATCTAGACGTCTATAAATAATTTACATATTTGTGAGCGAAAGGCATTACTCTTGTCAATCGTGTAACATTGCATATTCATGGAAAACTAGCTGTAGCACGCGATACCGTCCGCGGAATTAAGAAACATAAATCTCTGTTCTTTCAGATTACGTTCAACATTTATGTCAAATTTCAGAAAGATCCGGATAGTTATTTACAGACCAATCTACATTTTTACATTTATAATATTGGTAGTTCAACAAAGTCAATTTTGTACAGTTTAAGGAATCTTACCAGTGGCAGAGCGAAACAACACAAGGATGGCTTGCGGGAACGTTTGGAAATGATTGTTGCGTGTGATCGGAGTGTCGTCGTCGATCGCTATCTTACCAAATACCTAAAACAATATAAACACACACTATTATAATTACACACACACACACATATACACACACTATTAATAGTATTAACTAGTTTAGTTTCTAAGATATACAAGAAATAAAACAGGTTTGCAAATATGTACAAATAAACGCAGTTTAACAGTTTTGGTAAAAAAAACTACTTCTTTGAATGTATATTATAATACGTATGTGCTGGCACACACCTTTGACTAATCTATCGCACAACTGTTTTGTCTCGCTTTGATTCCTTAGAGGTTATATAGAGCGCACACTCGATTTTTAGTTGTGCAACTAAACAGTTGTGCTGACAAACAATCGACAATCGCACAACAATTGTGCGTTTAGTCAAAGAGTGCACCAGCTCACACACATTACAAAATCATTTAGATTATTAATCATGAAGATTTTTAACAAAGTCTTGGTTACCTGCATCCCAACAACAGCGTAAATGAAAAACAACATAAGTATCAACAATGCGACGTATGGCAGAGCTTGGAAGGACTTTATGAACGTCCACAGTAGAGTTCGAATGCCTTCACCTCGGGATAATAACTTGACCAGTCTCATTACACGGAACAGTCGGAAGAAATTTATCGATGGTATCGAAGACTCCTGAAATATGAAATCGAGTTATCTCTTTTCCTCTTACCTATTTCCATTGAGAAAGAAAGAGATGTGTTACTACACATCATTATTTCTGTTGCTTGATTTTACTCTGTATTTAAACCATGACAAGTAAATATCTTATATTCGTTGTAAAAGTTGGCATTAAATCGCTTGTTTCTTAGTATTTTTGCTAGGATTAGATATACATTTTAAATTTATGCTTCGTTATAAGTGTGTTCCACAAGTTCGTTTGCTGTAATCAATTCTTTTTGATATGTATGTGTCAAGTGCTTTTTGCATCTATGAGTTTTGTGTTCTAAATATGTTGTGCTTTCTTGCTAATCTTGTGTCCTTAAGCACACTGTTACTGTCCCAAATAATTTGTACACCTAAAGCATTATATATGATATACGACATTAAAAGCTTAGGTTATTTTGTTTTCTATTTCTCTGTGGACCTATACTATATTCTATCTTTTATTATCTTTTCTAATACTAATAACTTATTTCTGCGTGTAAGCGTCCTTACCTTAACAACATGTGCTCTTGGCAATCCACTACCCTGAAATAAACATTGCTCGCTTGAATTCCTTAGTTAATTATTGTAATTACAGTGCTCTAGCGTATGTTATTACAACATCAACGTCCATGCTGGGGACAGTAACTACGCCGTCTGCATTTAGAAATAATACGAAGTTGTTTTTTTATTATTACCAAGCTCTTATGCTTTCTTGTTGAATATTTAATGAACACTAAGAAAGTCTTTTAATGTAGATTTTATAAGAATTGTTTAAGGGTTTTGATAATCATTAAAATAACTAGAACTGTGATAGTTCATTTGTTTTTAGCATTTCTTTGCGTTAATTCATTGATTCTATTTCTCCAGTTTTCTGCACAATTTAATATAGTTTTACATTTTATAGTTTAGATGTTTATTTAAAAATATATTATTATTTCGAAATGAGACGGCATTTAGGTGTTTGTCTATCAGATTTTATACTATAATTGCCTATTTACCTGGTTTTTAAGTTCATTTACTTGTGATACAACAATGTCAATGATACTTCCGAGGACTATGATGAAATCGAAGGTGTTCCACGCGTCGCCGAAGTAATTCTAGAATAATACGATGGCTATAAACATTAGAAAGATAAAATCATACTAATATTATGAATGCGAAAGTTTAGATGGATGGATGTTAGAGTATGTCGTCTATACGACTGAACGAATCTTGATGAAATTTGGCTTAGATGTAGAGGATAGTAAGAACACATAGGCTACTCACTTATGACTTTTTTCAATTTCACGCGGACGGAGTCGTGGGCGAAAGCTAGTAGTTTATATTACCTTAAACCTGAATGCAGCCAGTTTAAATATGAACTCCAGCGCGAAGACCGCTGTGAACAGCATGTTGAGGAGATCCAATGCTTTGCTGTATTCTGCTGACTGGTTGTGGTATTTCATCGCGAGGGTGATGGTGTTGATCATGATGAGCACAAAGATGGCGTATTCAAAGGGCTGTGACGTCACGAACCACCATACTTTGTACTGAATACGATGTTTTGGGATATACCTGATTGTAGAGAAAGTGTTTTTTACTGCAGTTTTATACAATTTTAAGCGGTCTCTAAAGTTATAAAATCTTTTTCTAATTACAGTAATCTGTTTCTTTTTAAAGGTAAATAGTAATCGTACCTTCTAATGGGTTTTGCTTTTAACGCGAATTCAATACAATTTCTTTGGTTCTTGTCGAGTTCGCAATTCTTGTACTCCTGTTCACCCTCGTTTTGGAATGTCACTATGACGAAACCAACGAATATGTTGACCTAAAATTAGTTATATTAATTATATCTTTAGTTACTATTTCAAATCGCACATAAGCCACAACAAAAAACTTCTAGTGATTACTCAAGTTTGAATCCATTCAGATGTCTCCTCTTAGTAATTAGCACTGTTAGGAACTGCGTTAGGGGTAAATAAGCACATTAATATGTAACACTTTTGAACACCAAAATATTGTGGCTATGAAGCGAAGTATTCAATATGTCTTTCAGTATTCCTCTGTGAGAGTATACTCACCATGAAGAAGGCAATAATAATAATATAAATAATATAGTAGGCTGCAACAATTGGACGGAAGTTAGTTATAGGGCCGCGGTCCTCCGCGTTCGAATCTATTGATACGTACAACAACCTGCGAAATACGTTCATATTGAAAAATAATAAACAACAAATATATAAGTATAAGTAAATTAATTCGAATTTTGGGCGCCCGTTTGTGGAACCAGTCCGGCGCCTCTAAATACTGAACTTCGATTGGCTGGCGCCCGCAACAGCAGGACGTTCATTGGTTGGCGCCAGTTAAGGTTCGGTGCCCGAGTTAATACGGTCTTAGATAAAAATAAGAAGAGAAAAATCTTACCCTGGCCATCCCTCAAATGTGGAAACAGTGAACAATGTAAGCATGCCCTTCATCACGTTGTCAAAATGAAAATCATTTCTTCTCCATTCTCTATCTCTTACTACATAGTTCCTATTCTCGAATACTAAATACGTCCCCCTGAAAAAAAAGTCAGCCATCAATTTTTGTATGTCCATACGGAGGGTTGGCACAGGATATATTCTTCCATACATCTCTATCAGTTGTCATATCTAAATTGTCTCCCTACTTTGTTTCCTTTTTCACGAAAGTATAGATACGTCATACGTAACGTTATAAATTAATTTAAAATAATTATAAAAATACTGTTCCCGTGCGACTTCATCCGCATAAAATTGTGAAAATTTTAATTTTATTGTTTACATGTGTCAAAATCTCAATTGCAAATCAAAATGACATGACATGATGTCAAACCATGGGGCGACCTTGTTTCCTTAATGTTGGCATTTGTAGTTTGTGGTCCCTTTCCAACATGAATGTGTATTTTCCAATTTATTAACCCCCTAAGTTTAATAGCGTGAAAACATATAGCCTAAAGCGTGTTCTACGTTAAGGGGTTTTTATTAAAGAAATAATAATTCAAAAATTTGCTGTAATTGCTGACATCTTACGCCACAAAGTAGTGTGTGTTTACTCTTTATTATAATAGTATAGATAGTATAGATAGTATATATGTACTTACTGACACTCCTCCTTAGTCATCTTAGAAATATCATTACATCTAAAAAATTTGCCCTGAAACAAAACTCTTTGAAATTAGACATATGTTCAGTAAAAACTGATTTATTTACCATGCTCAAACAACACTATACAAAACCAATACATTACTATGTCTAACATCATTTTATAAGATAGTAACATCTCATTTCTCATGATGAAAAGCGTTACATAACAGCTATGTACATCGATCGACACAAGCAATTGTAAACGGCTTTACATTCTTCATGCACACTATTACATACACATTTTTCTATTATACATTCTGTTAACTACTTCATAAGTGGGAACTTCTAAAGATTTACAAATATATTTCACTATACTTGTATTAGGTTTTCGATACATACATTGCATAAAATTTTATCAGTAGGTTTTGTAAAAATTTTCATTTAAAACCAATTGTTTTAATTGATAAACATTCATCTATTCTTTTTATTTTAGTGGAATACTTTCCATGAGAGTTACCAGCCGATAACATAAGCTAGGTCTAGTGAGAGATAGCAACCATGAAAAAGATTTTAGAGGGCTGCTACCCCTGTACATTACCCTGGTTCACTCTTGATTATAATCTTACATCAAGCATGTTCTCATCATAGATTTTAGTAATAATTTTTAAGCAATAACAACTTATGCAAACATTTATACAAAGAAACACAATAAGTACCCCTCTGGCGTGCGATATAAGTACAAATGCAGCGAAACAAACATTTGGGTATGATTTAGAATATCCCACTTATCCATGCAATGGAAGCCTCACCTTAAATAACTGTACACCAACGACAGCGAACATAAATTGTAATAAATACGTAACTAGCATTATGTTTCCTATAGTCTTAATTGCTACTATCACACATTTCACCACGTACTACGGCATTATAGTGATTGGTCGCACGCCCATACATTACCAATTACCAAAGGTATACGCCAGATTTCAATGACCGGTTACCACGCAGCGTCGGAACATAGGGGACAAGCAAACATGTTTAATACAGGGCATGGGGCAGGTAATCTGTTATAACTAAGTACAGACAAGTTAGATCCGGGGTGGATACTTAAACGCCAAGGTAGGGGGGATGGTTATTTTAAACTGGAAGTTAGTCTAAATGATCTACACCTTTGGGTTCCTTCACCATGCTCTAGTTTAGACAACATTAATTCTTCTAAAAACTTAATATCTCTATTGACATGCTAAACTATTGTATTGTTAATCCTAATATGAAGAATCAAAGCAGCTTATAAAATAGAACAGTATAGATAATGCTAGAAGAATATGAGCAGCGATGGAGTTAGCACAAGAAATCAAAGCAACTGCAAAGACGGCTTGAAATGCGAAAGATAGAAACCATGAGAAATGAGTAAATTAAAAGATAGGAAAGTAAGAAAAGATAAAAGAATCCAAAGATTTAATACCCAAAGGTGTAATTGAAGTCGTAGAGAATAGGGATGTAGACAATATTTGTTTACACACGTGTTGGATAGCATAGTGCTGTATTGCTCCTGAAATATAATATAGTAAGCCCCCTACCTTGAACATTTGAACTCCCATGACAGCAAACATGAACTGTAGTAATGATGTTACCAATAATATGTTGCCAATCGTTTTGATGGCAACGATCACGCATTGAACAACGTGCTATAATCAGGGAAAGCAATTGTTTAGGATTTCAATAGTGTATATCTTTATAACATTGGATCTAAAGACGTAGTTATTCATTTCAGAAAACCTTGGCTTAAGTATATTATCAGTTTATTTATAGTCGGTTTTAGAATTAAGAATATAAAGGATGACGTGGTGAAGGATTTGAGACTGACCTTAAGGCCCTTGGCCCTGTTGATGGCCCTAAGAGGCCGAAGCACCCTGAACACTCGCAAAATTTTCACTACAGATATACTGCCAGACCTGTAGACAACATTCAAATAAGTAAAACCATTTGAATAGATATACTTGATTCAAATTAAAGTAACGTAAGTGAATACAGATATTTTTGAGGTGTTCGATACATTTCTGTAGAACTTAGACAACAAACCCTAAGATAAATTGACATAAAACAGACATTTATTTATGAGTATGGGAGCGTTACAATATTAAAGTGTTGGGTGTAACCCAACTATAGTAATCAAGACAGGAAAGTAATGAATAAGTAATATTAAGTACTAACTTAAAGCTCATAGAGATGAGCGAGACGCAGACAACGAGCATGTCGAGGACGTTGAATGCGGAGCGCAGGAAGGCGCCCGGGTGCAGCACCAGCCCGTACGTCACCAGCTTCAGAAACAGCTCCAGTGTGAAGATGCCCGTGAAGAACATGTCGAACTGGCTCAGTAACTGAACAGACAGTATACTTCATTCTTATACAAAACTTTAGATTTCCAATGAAAATACGAAAACAGAGATCTTTTCATACAGACTTTTTCGAGATGTTTTCTATATAGTGAAACATCTAAGGAAAGAAGAGAATTGTGTACTTTTTATCTGACTTCTTGGCTTTAAGTTAACATCTCATATATTTAATTTATTTATTATTCTCATTCTAATACTATTTTTACCATATGCATCGCTAGCCGATGACCTAAGCTAGATCTAGGCAGCTATCATACGATCTTCGTCAAAGTAATTATTATTACATTCTCTTTGGAGACGCAGATAACTGGTTCATCTATACTAACGTTATAAAGGAGAAAGAATTGCATTTTTGTATGTATCCGATTCACGTAAAAACTACTGGGCCGATTTCAAAAAATTCTTAAACCGTTAGAAAGGTAACTTATCGATGGCATAGGCTACATTTTTATTATTTTTGTAATTTCACGTACACGAAGTCGCGAACAACAACTATCAATAACAATTTCTCTTACCCAATTCCTAAATCCCTTCTGTGCAGCATCCAATGGATCCTCTGCAGCCAACATGGCGGAGGAGAAGAGGATGCACACGAGGATGATGTTTCCGAAGGTAGAGGAAGCCGACAACTTGTAGCAAAGTACACGAAACCTAGCATATAAGTAAAATATATAAAGATTACCATATTTAGAAATGTACTATAGTAAAGCAGTTTTCGAAATAACGCCATCTATTGGCATGTTATCATGTTTGATACGTTTTTTTTAATCAAATCCTTTGCAATTTTGTTTAGAAATTTCCCTTATTAAGTTAAATATATCTTTCATAATTTATTTACTTTACCTTGTAGCATTAACATAACTTTACTAACATTGACAAACAATTACACACAAAATGAACAGCACAATATTAATTTCAAATTGTATTAAATATAAAAAAAGCAAAAACAATCACACGAAGGCTGTAAAACATTAAAACAATTGCAAACCTTAAAACAGTAAAAAGCTCATGCATTCTAACAAACAATAAAAAAAATCTTCGTACGAAAACTCGACTAAAAAACTATTCGACTAAAATCGCATTTTTTAAACATGCTTCAACTGATAACCCAAATTGTAAAACAAACCTAACCACTAAAACCATCTAAGGTACCCTTTAATCTCATTGTCATAGAATTTGGGTTCAGAAATAATTTACGTACAAAATTTAACATTCACACATATAAATTTACATGAAGACATTTGAATGACAGACAAATCGAGGCGACAATACCAATGGTCTATACCAGCAAATCGTTTAAGCTCCCAGTTTTTAATTTGTCAAGGCAAATCGTAAAAACTTGAAATAACGGCAATAAAAGTGACAAGTTGTTCAGTCTACAATTTACAATTATTAAAATTCTATACGTCTACGAAGTGGCTCGTAAGGAAGGCTAAAATAGGTAATTAAGACATGATCAAAAACGCTGGCCTATTGGTTGGTTAACTTCAGATAATTTTGAGTTTTGTTATGTACAGGTTTCATCGCGATGTTTTCCTTCACTGTAAGAATGTTGGGTACATATGAAATTCAAAAATCAAAACAGACTGGTACAGTGAGATTCGATCCCAAGACCTATTTACGAGTCAAGTGCTTAACTCCTGAGCAACCGAGGGTTTTACTATTTGCTTAATCAAATTTCAAACGGGTATTCACGATTTGCCGGTGACATACAATGAGACGGGTACCATCTAAACCACCAATCACCTGTTCGTCGGTGAGAATACGAAGAAACTACTAGCGTTCGGTATTGGTGGCGTCTGATTTGGCATATTCAGCTCTGAAACCCTCCGGGGTCTAGCCGTTACTAGTCTCCCTTCCTCTTCACACTGCTCCCCATCTTCGTGATAGAAAAAGATGGCAATACCTCTTTAGTTTACTTCAAAATAACTAACCTTAAACTTAAATACTTCCTGTAAAAGTTACACCCTAAACATGCTAATGAAATCGGTACCTTAGTTATCTAAATTTTCAACGATGAAACCAATGCAAACATAAATAGTGAAAGAAGCAAAGTATTGTGAGAATAAATTTAAATACAGATAAAACAATAAAGAGAATAGCTGAAATTTAATAAATTAGAAACGAGTAAAATCATAGGCGCAGAATTTGTCTTTGACGACGTAAACGTTTTAAAGAAAAGCTAAGATAAAGTAAAACTGAAATCCGATTTCAAAATCAATAAGCTATAAATAAATTACTTTAAAATAAAGAGCCGTCAAAGACAAAATAGATATTAAAAAATTGTAAAAAGAAAAGAAGAGAAACCAAGAGAGAACATCTAAATAAGGAAAGCCGCTGTTATTCCTCGTGTCGTCGCCCTAACCTGTTGGTTTTGGAAAATATGAAGAACGAAGATGCATCTGGTATTGGTTTCTTAGAGTCGCGTATATCGACCTCGGAGAGGCGACGCGGTCGCGCAGAAGATGTGGTCGGTTTACGTTTCAGTCGGGGCTCGTCATCGAACTCTGTGTTCACTGTTGTTTTGGTTAGCAACGTTTTAATATCCTTGGATTATATCGAAACTGCAGTTTCTAATACTGCTAGAGAATCTTCAAACTTATTAACAACATTTGTTCCTTAGTAAGTTTGTGAAAAACTTTTGTTTAATCTATTCTTACTTAACATTAAGTAAAATTGTAACAGCTTACTATCTTTGCAATAAATAGGGGTAAGTACCAGATTTGTCTAATACCAATAGTATACCTGAAATTACTTTAACATTTATCATCATCACCAGCTCACTTTACGTCCCCACCGAGGGGCTCGGAGCCTACTCTAAATTAGGGTGACTAGACCATAGTCAAAATTCATAATGAAGTTATAATAAATGTGTTGAAAGTTGCATCTTTTAATTGCACCTTCCTTTCTTCATAAATTGTATCATAAAAATTAGTCACTTCAACCTTAATCGTATAAAACTGTTAAATGTATCTCTCACCTATATGATTTCTTTGATGACTTTCCATCATGTCAAGTTCGTCTCTCTCTTGTTCATCTTCTAATCTCTCCTCTCCGATTTCTTCCTCAGGGCCAATATCTTCTTCTCCCTCTATCTCTTCTTGTTGTTCTCCCTCTGATCCTGTTTCTTCATATTCTCTTTCTGAACTATTAACATAAAATAATATTTTTAACTTTACATCAATTACTCCAGAAGATACAACAAAAATGTAAATGGAATAACACTCCAAGACATTTTGGATTACACTAAAGTTCCCTTGATGTAATCTTCTAATTCTACATCTGGCTAAAAGCCTTCTTTGTCAGTTTTTCAGTCTGACAGTTAAAGTCTCGAAGTGTGGTAGTGTGTTAAAATGGCATTTAAACCAATACTTTTTACATACTTGTCAGTCGTATATGCATCTTCGTCATGTATGTACTCGTCATCCGTGTCAGCATGCCCACCTTCTGCGATTATACTGCCCCCTTCTTTCTCTTCTGCCGCTTGCTAGAATACAAGTATAAATAATAATCAACCATCCTTAACTCATTCTATCTGAAACTGGGTTTTCCGCTTCTAGAACGATCTATCAGTGATCAGTGATGATTAAACATAGGTTTTGATTATTTATTGTATAGTGTACTTACCCCTTCTTCTTTTTCAATATTAGTGAGTGATTCAGCATCAGCCAAGTTATCTACGGCGATGGCCAAGAACACGTTCAGTAGGATGTCTGTACAACTAGGAGTGAAGGTAAATCAGAAAACTTACGACAATAGAAGAATGAGCTTAAAAAAGAAACCGGAAACATTAAAAGTGTGTGAAGAACAGCAAGAAACGAAGAAGTCTATACAGATACTGCCACCAAAATGATTTAATAATCGAACAAAATATAGCAAATATTGAACAAAGAACTCGCAGAAATTTTAAAAGGATACAGTTACCGCAGATGAAGAGAATAATAAAGTAAATACAGGCGAGGATGCCCACAGAGCCCACGCCGCCATACGCCTTAATACCCTCGTACATCACCGCGTTCCAGTCCTCACCAGTTAATATCTATAAATAGGTAAGTAGACTAATATATTTCTTAGATGCAAACCTGGTCCAGGTTGCAGGAAAGCTCTGGATAAGGGTGGCATGGGATCATCGTAGCAATCGGAGGGGAACAATATTCAGCAATGAACAATCTTAGGCTGGTGATGATTACAAACCTTCCCTCTATGTGTATGGTTTAAAATTAAACAGAAAAATACGCAAAGCTGTTTCAAAAATAATTTCTATAATGTACTAGCTCTTACCCACGACACCCTCAGTGTGAAATTAAAAAAAAATTAAATAGCCTATGTGTTCTTTCAGACTATTTTCTACAACTATGGCAAATTTTACCAATTCAGGCTACAAACTCCAACAAATATCCGTCTAAATTTTGTATTTATAGTATTAGTATGATTTTTCATAACTTACTTGGAACACAGTAAGCAACGCTTGCCAGAAACAATCAAAGTTATGTCGATCTTTTTCCTCAACAGGGTCGTAGTTGAACTTCCCGCCGAAGACCTGCATGCCGAGCAGAGCGAAGATCATGATGAAGAGGAACAGCAGCAGCAGGAGGGAAGCAATAGATTGGATGGAGTTCAGCAATGATGCCACTAAGTTGGACAGTGAACGCCAGTACCTGAAAAAAATATTAGTTTAGCTCATGTCATTTGTGATAACCCTTAGTAATCCTTGAAGCCATCAGAATCCGCTCTGTTTTAAGTTTAGTTGAATAGTGTGGTCCGTTTTTCTTTACATATCTTACTTGGTAACTTTAAAAACCCTGAGCAGCCTGACACATCTGAGCACGGAGATGCCGAGCGGTGGCATCACCTCCGTCTTGGTGAGCACCATCTCGCTGATCGACCCCACCACCACGAAGCAGTCGAAACGATTGAACAACGACACGAAGTAACCCTGGATAATGTCGAAAAAATTACTACCAAGCATATTGAAATGCTTATGTCAACAAAATGTTTTTTGAATTTATTTATAGTACATAGTCATCGATCCCCATTCCTAACTGAAAGGGGTAAGGAGATGATTTTATAGATTCGTTTCCACTTACTTGTAAACCCAAACTGTACATCTTGACCAACATTTCAAGTGTGAAGAGAGCCACGAAAAACGCGTTGCCGTACTCTTGAAACAGATCTAGCCACGAGGGCTGGCTGGAAAAAAAGGCGTCAGTTATCTACGTGAATTGAAACAGTTAAATAAATAAAGTTTCTGACGAATATGACAAGAATCTAGTTAGGTTGAAAAAACACCCTTTTTAATGACAAGGAATAAGGAGGTACTAGTCCTCAAATCAAAAGTAACAGTAAACTCACTGATAATGTTCACTGGCTAGCACCACTGTGTTGAGGAAGACCAGCACAATGATCAGCCAGTAGAACGTCTGCGACTTCACCGCGCGCCGACACGCACGCTTCATGCGACGGTTCACCTACAGGATAACAAAGAAATTAAAGTATAAATATATATGTTATAGGTTATGTTAAGGGATCTTACTTTATCAAAATCCTTCTTCCAACATTCGCCGATGGACATTTTCTTCTTCTGTTCCGTCAACACCTCGATGCCCAAGTTATCTGTCGAGTCGTTTTCACTCGTCGTCTGACCTGTTTTTAATAAACCTGTATTACTTTTGATTAGCAACGACTAAACTATCGCACAACTGTTTAGTCTCACTTTGATTCCTATGAGCTCACATGGAGGTGCGCACACTACTCGATTTTTAGTTGTGCAACCAAACAGTTGCATTGCTACGATACAATCTCACAGTAGTGTGCGATAATTTAATCAAAAGTGTGCGTCCGCTCTAACTATGTGAAAAATGTTCGTCATAGAATAATAAAATCTCCTAACCCATTCCATAATCCCTCTTCTGATCAGCAGTGTCATGCTGGTCTGCCAGCGGCTCCAGGTATTCCGCCTGCGTGATCCAGTCCAGGTAGCCTTTTAAGTCTTCTTCTAATTGCTGCTTTTCTCTCAGCTTCTGGAAGTCACCTCTGTTCTTTGCTTTCTCTCTTTCTTTAGAGAACTCTCTAAAAACAATATTAAGCATAAGTTTTTAATTATTTTGAAATTGAAAAACAAAAGATACTTAATTTTACTTTGAAATTGTCGCATTATTTTTAACTTTAGAGAAAACTTATTAACACTTACCCCGACAACACACCAAGAATTAGGTTCATAACAAAAAAAGCTCCCAGTATCACCATCGATATAAAATATATCCATTCCCAACTGTTGCCCATCGCGTCTTGTATCTGAAAAAAAAAACTTAATACGATAAGAACTCCAAAAACACTAATCGAATGATGCTTTACAAAAGAACAAAGATAAATCAATCAGACATCTAAACGCAATAGCAAACTTACATTATACATAACATCAGTCCATCCTTCTAGCGTGATGCACTGGAAGACAGTGAGCATGGACAGGCCGAAGTTATCAAAGTTGGTGATGCCGAAGTTAGGGCCGATCCAACCCTCGCGGCATTCCATCTCTTCACCGATACTCGAGCAGTTGAAGCCGTTGTCATTATCACACGGGTGTGGAGACTCCATTATCTCATCTAGGGAAAATAACATTTAGGGCCTGTCCCACCACTCGCTGATATAGGCTCAGATAGCTTAAAAATTATGCCACTGTCAGATAAAGGGACAAAATCCAATATTTCCTTCACATATTTTACACGTTGGATTGTAATCAGATAGTTTACAATTTGGTGGGACAGTATTTACGAAATGTTCCCATACGGCTTGAATGAAATTATGAAAACTTTATTTTATTGTTTACATTTGTGAAGTCTTACAATTGCAAGTGTCAAAATTATAATGCACAAATGCAACGAAGGCCTTTGAGGTTGGATAAAAACGTTACCATAGCATCCTTGCTTTTTGTCAGATTGTCGTTTTTGTCTCTTTCCCTCCAACACTTTTCCCCCACGTTATTTACTCCCTAAGTGTGAGAGCATGAAAAGATGTAGCCTAAAGCGTATTGTAAGCATATGTAGTGTGTGTTTATGCTTTATCACATCTCCCATCATTATCTCCCTTACCTTATCCTATTCTCGTAGGGCGCATCGGGTTTTCGTCTTCCAAATAACACTATCATCCGTCATCTTAGTCACTTTTTACGTCTACCTCTACCGGGGTACCACACTCATAACTAACGTCCTTCGTGGTACCCGTTATTTCATAAGTATAGATAGATAACGCGTTTATCACCTACGACATAAATTACATCATCACTCTTAGACATTGTGTACCTGTAAGCTTATTGTAGCAGGACTTGTGCATCTTGCCGGAGAAGAGCTCGAGGCCGATAATAGCGTAGATGATGATGACGAAGATGACCAGTAGCGCAATGTGCAGTAGGGGCACCATCGCCTTTAAGATAGAGTTCAACACTATCTGAAGACCTGGGAACATATGTCATTAATGAATACAGGTTCGTTAAATGGTCCACTTTAGTACTATTATGTGGAAAATTTCTTCCTACATTTGTGGTTAGTATTCATTTTAGTTTAGCAAAACAATCGACAATCGCAAACATCTCTGCGATTGTTTAGTCAAAGTGGTGCGTCGTTTTAATAATAGACAATATATTTTTATTTTCTTTGGTATACTCACTAGGTACTCCAGAGACGAGCCTCAGGGGCCGGAGAACTCTGAACGCTCTGAGCGCCTTCACATCAAACGCGTCTTTGAAAATACTCGACAGCACCGTGCTCACCATACTGACAATCAGAAACGTATTGGTTAAACAATTTACTATACGAGAACTACGAAACTATAAAGCTCTTTAGCAAACTTTTATTTGAAATTTCTACAAAGTGCGAGGAAATTTAGAGTCCACAACTATTATAATAAGAAATTTAATTACCTAGTTTTCTTAGTGTAAAAGAATAACGAGGTAACGAAACATCTATGAGTACGATATAATATATGGACTTAAATTTCAAATAGTTTTATTTAAGAGAGTGCTTCTTTATAATGATAATTGTTTGTGCAGACTTACCCTATAACAACTATAGTGAAATCAAGTAAATTCCACCCGTTCCTGAGGTAGGAGCCGGGGTGCATCACGAAGCCGTACGCAATTATCTTCATCACGCACTCGCCCGTGAATATCACCAGGAATATGTACTCGATTTTTTCCTATAATCAAACAAAAAGTCGATTAACACGTTAACTACGGCAAGTAAAATCATAATTCTTCATTTGGTGCGGCGGGCCAGAATGCGCCCCCTAATAATGTTTCCGCCAGTGCGTGGCAGGTCTTTCTAGTCCCACCAGCACAAGGACAGATTAAATTGCTATAACTTTGTGGAAACATACTGTAAACATTTTATGTAATGTAATGTATACAGCTGAGATAATCGTGTCGTACTAGCGAGAGGGACATAGTTTTCTGCGTCCGCATCAGCTAAAATACTGCGGCAGGCCGATATCGACCTGTTAAGTAGTTAGCGTGTTAACAAAACAGGAAACCTCTACTCTATAGAAGAATGCGATTCGAATCGCATCTCAGTCGTTGGAATCAGTTAAGGAGTTTACGCAGTTCACAAACAAAAACAAATAAATGCTTGATTTTAACTTAGAGTATTTCATAAGACTCTATTACTTAGACCCATATATTTTCTCCTCCTATCATCTTAACCTGGAAACCAACTGCGTTCAGATTACTCTAAGGTAATACTAAATACTTACCAGAACAGAATTAGTGTAATTAGAATCGCCACTAGGGTAGGGTGTGTACACAGCGAGTGCTATGCAGTTAGCGAAGATTGTGGTCAGAATCATCCACTCGAACGGCCTGATACTGAGTTAGGGAAATATCTTTTCTGTTTATAAAGAGTAAATTAACATGGAATCAATTAATTTATTTATTTGAACCTCATTTCAAATGAACTCTATGTTTAAAAGTTTTATGCAGAATATTTTCCAAAAGCAATCTCCCTTACTGTCATACAACTGTTGTGCGATTGTCGATTGTTTCGCAGCCCATTCAACTGTTTAGTTGCACAACTAAAAAAAGAATAGTGTAACTTCTATATAAGCTCATAGGAATCAAAGCGAGACTAAACAGTTTTGCGATAGTTTAGTCAAAAGCGCGCGCCCTCACTGTCATCAAGCAGTGCTAGTCAAAGATATTGTATTTATAAATCCAATGTATACTATTATAATAAAGCGTAAACACGCACTTCTTTGTTGCCTAAGATGTCAGCAATTACAGCATATTTATGATTTTTTTTAATAAAAAGCCCTACCTTTGCGTGATGCTTTACACTATATTTTAAACGCCATTAAACTTAGGGGGTAAATATTTTGGATTAAATCCCTAATGTGGGAAAGAGACCATCAGTTGCTACCAACATCAAAGAAGCAAGGTTGACAACATGTCATGTCATTTTGACATTTGCAATTGATAATTTGACAAATGTGAACTATAAAATGATTTTTTTATAATTTTATGCGGATAAAGTCGCATGGGAACAGCTAGTCTAAAATATTATTCATCACTAGATCAGCGATTTTATTTATAATTGTAGATAAGTGTTGAATGAAATAAAATAATCAATGCATCGTAAGTCGTAATAAATCCATTAAATGTCGATAAATTTCTCGCCGAAAGCAATCCGGTATTGAGTTATATAAATCGCTGCTTTATAATGCTATATCTCAGTTGTGTGGGAGTAACTATCATTGTTTCAACAGACGTATGTTTTCTACTAAGATATCTACATTCGTTGTTTTGTAAATTACAATTCCCAACTGACACATTGGTTTCTTTGAACGCCAATAGTATGACTCAAACGCAATCAATACTTTTTGTGTTATTCACCAAAAAATTCAGTGAAAATTCAGTCATCGTCTTCCAAGAATTTCTTCATGACATTTGCATGATCTCATTGATTCTAAAGAAAAGCTGATTACTATGAGACATTGCGATTAAAGAAAATACAAAGTTCAATTGGCCGTTAGAAGTTTAATTTATTTGATACTAGCTTTCGCCCGCGACTCCGTCCGGTTGGCATTAAAAAAAACAAAAGCGAGTAGCATATGTGTTCTTCCAGATTACAATTTACGTCGATGCCAAATTTCATCGAGATCCGTTCAGCCGTTTAGGCTACAAACTCTAACAAACATCTATCTAAACATTCGCATTTATAATATTAGTACGATTTGTTTAGGATTACAAAGGTATCTTTCAACAAAGATAATGTACAATTAAAGACTGCTAGAGACGCTCAGTTCTAAGTGAAGAGTCGAAATGTTCGGTTATAACTGTGGACAAAAATGTAACTGTCATTTTTAACTTAACAATTCGATTCTTTAGTTCAGTCAGAACTGTGCAAACGTAGGAAGCTTTATTACATTTTCTTCTATTATTCAAATTATTTTGATCCGCAAATTGCTTTTAATATTAATTTTGGCTTTCAACCCTGATGTTGTTCCCTTAAATGGTAATTCGATCATTTTTTTAATATAACGGGAAACAATGGTAATGCATGGCATGTAAGCGGGTAACGGCCTCCGAACGCAAATAAACAACACGATAAATAAATGGCCGCGAGCCAAGCAATCCAACAAATGCATGAATGGAGAACAGAGGTATTTGACGTTTTGATGCCAGGAAGTGAGGCTTCCTTTATTTAATACTGCAATTAACTAGTGAACTCATTTTGTGAAATGTCTTTCCGGATTTTAACGGGTTTGGTTTACTATGTCTTTGTTAGGCTGGAGGATAGGCGGCTGGGTGACCACCCAGGGTTCTGGACAAATCGGCGTCTGCGAATTACTCTCACATAACAGTCTTAACCACTTTCTTTATAAAAAAAATGTAGAAGTCTCCCCCAGGGCGGCATAAAGCTAAAAATGGTATTGTAAATTAATAATTATTATAAATCACCTTAATTTCTTAATAAGATTTATTAGTAATTTATAAAGAAGTGCACGAAAAATATTAGCTCTCCATATGTAACTATAACTACACTGCAGAGGTTTTAGGTCACGACAGATGGTATGCATTACCACTGACAGCACGCAGCTGTTGTTGACAAACGGACAGACGATATTTTCATATAACTAACGATGAGAATAATGTAGAAATAATAATTGAGTTAACTGCTCAATAAGATTATTGTGCAAGTCATTTTTCAATGGAAACTAACGTGTAGACTTAAGTACTTATCGCACAACTGTTTAGTATTACTATGATTGAATTTCAGTTGTAACTGAACAGTTGAATTGAAGGCAAAACAATGGACAATCGCACAATTGTGCGAAAGTTTAGTCAAAGGTGTGGGTCTGCTCTAATTCATTAGGCGATAACGTTGATGCGGGGAGTCCCGCATCCGGGCTAACGACTGAAAATCGGTCGATGAAGGCGTCGTGCGGGGAGCAGATGTGTAACGCGGTAAAGAAAAGTAAGGGATATCAAACTCATGGGGGCGCTAACTAATTTAATTTCGCTCATAGCCACTTAAATTCTGTTTTATGATTTGTAATTTCTTGCAAGTCATGTCATGAATATGTTAGTAAGTTTGTATCTGGGTTGTATCAAAAAATATAATAAACAAAATGTTAACATGTAACACGCATTGCGTTGACCTGATTGAACGCACGCGTAAATAGGGGAATTTTTTTGTTTATAAGTTTAGTAAGATTATGTCTTAAAAGATTTTAATTTTTTAATTAATTTTACAGGTTAGTGGTTACATTTGAAAGGTACGTCTATGTCTTTATTTACATCTTTACTAGTATTATGAAGAGGAAAGATTTGTATATTTGTATGTATTGAAATAACTCAACAACTACAAGAACGACTTCAAAGATTGTTTAACCATTTCAAAGGTACGTTATCACTGAGTATTATAGGCTATATATTTTTAATTTCACTCGGATGAAGTCGCGAGCAACAGCCAGTAAATTTTATAAGAGCCTGATTAACGATATAGGTTCGCCAATTACAGGTTCACATAATTCTGTTTACACCACAAGAGCTAAAAAGGAGCTAGTAGCGAAACACAGTATTATAATCCTACTTTTTACTAATATTATAAATGCGAAAGTTTAGATGGATGGATGAATGGATGGATGTTTGTTAGCGTTTGTAGCCTAAACGGCTTAACTGATCTCCATGAAATTTGGCACAGGTTTAGAGCACAGTCTGGAAGAACACATAGGCTACTTTTTATCCCAACAATAGTTACGGTTCCCGTGGGATTCATTAATTTAGTTTTTTAATGTTTACTCAATCATTCTGCAACGTTTCAACGTATCTTATTGAAATTTGGCACAGATATAAAACAAAGTCTGGAGTACACATGGGATAAGCTTCATCCCTGAAAAGTGTCCGGTTCCCAAGGGATACGTAGCTATTTTTAATTTATATAGTTCGTATGTTTTCTAATACCACGCGGACGAAGTTGCGGGCAACAGCTCGTACGTTTATATTTCTTTAGAAACGGTAAACGATGTATTTGAGTTGCTAAATCAATTTGTAAAACGTACAGAGGTATACCCTGGCAGACTGCCTGCAACTATACTGTTGACAGAACATTTTGAAAGCTTAAAAGTAGTTGAAATGTAAACATTGATTTTGCCTGGATTTTACCTTGCATACCTGTATAAAATTTGTTAGAACAGAGTAAGATGTGGTCGTTTTGGCGAAAAGACGAGAATGTTAAAATTATATCAATGATAGTTGTCACCCGCGACTTCGTCCGTGTGTAATTACGAAAACAATAAAAAGTATAGCCTATGTTACTGAGCGATAACGTAGTTTTTTTACAGTGAAAGAATTGTTTAAATTAGCCCAGTAGTTTTAGAGTTCAATACATACAAAACTACAAATCTTTCCTCTTTATAACATTAAGAATCTGTCCCACCGAATTGTAAATTGTCTGATAACAATCCAACATGTAAAATATCTGATGGAAATATAAGATTTTGTTACCTTATCTGACAGTGACGTCATTTTTAAGTTATCTGAGCCTCTATCCAGTGGTGGGACTGGCCCGAAGTATAAGTTAACTTCATAAGGTATGACTTTAATTGATTCTAGATAACTTAGGAGTGTACGAAATGAACAACCGCTTTTACAAAGGCATTTCGTAAGCGTTTAAGAATTTTTATATTTAAATATTCTTGGATAATATCAAGTAAATTCAGTTCTATGATATCTAGGAATATAATATAGAAATCTTACAATAATATATTTGCTAGATAAAAGCTGAATTTTGATTATTATGTTGTTTGATATCAGCTATCTGTGAAATGTTGGCTTCGTTTCAAACCAAACGCAAACTGATGCCCGCTGATTAAACAATTCTGACAGACGTTGTACGTTTTTATTTTAATATCCTCTGACATGGAATGAATTTGTTATAGATTTTATTTGTTAAAAAACAGCATAGTAACTATCTAAGTATGTTTACTTGAAATGTTTGTTGCTATCTTATAAATTCAAAAACTTAACGGCAACTAAGCAGGTTCTTAAATCTATACTATTATAATAAAGCGTAAACACACACTTCTTTGTTGCCTAAGATCTCTGCAATTACAGCATATTTTTGAATATTTTTTTTAATAAAAATCCCTACACGTAAATCATGCTTTAGGCTTTATATCTTCACGCCATTAAACTTAGGGGGTAAATATTTTGGATAAAATAAAAATCCTAATGTGGGAAAGAGACCATAAGTTGCTGCCAACATCAAGGAAGCAAGATTGCCATGGTTTGTCATCGTCATGTCATTTGACATTTGTAATTGATAATTTGACAAATGTGCGGATGAAGTCGCACGGGAACAGCTATACTTAAAAATTATTAAAAAGGATACTTCCATTCAACTATATCTATACATAATTTCCTCAAGGGGTTCTTAAGTGTCAAGCAGAAGAGGGCTCGTTTGGGCCTCTCCTGTTGGACCTTTGGACCTCTTCTAGGGGGCTTCCGAGGCGCGACGGGCACCAGTATGAGGGGACCGGTGCCGTCGGGCGCGGCTGCCGTCACAGGACCCCCCGCAGCAACCGGCGCAGGCGGCGCGGGGGGCGCAGGGGGCTCTTCTGTGCTGGTCTCCGCCACGCTCATCTTGCACTGGAATATAAAATACCATTAACTGTAGGAACATAAGTTCTTATTAATATACTAGCTTTCGCCCACGACTTCGTCCGTGTGGCAATTAAAAAAACAAAAGTAGGCCATATGTTTTTCAACACTATCGTCTTCATATATGTCAGATTTCATTGATATCCGTTCAGCAGTTTAGGCTACAAACTCTAACAAACATCCATCTAAACTTTCGCATTTAAAATATTAGTATGATTGTTGAAAACGCTAACGCTTATAACTCGCACCACACCGTAGATCCCGGAAAGTTTTATACTTTACGTCGCGTTCCGTTCCGCGCAGCTAACGTTTTTAGCCGAATGATTAATGCCTCTCGGGAATTTGAGTGTTGTCACGTTTACCCATTACTTTACAAATAAAGACATTTTTTATGGTAATATTTTAATATTAAGTTTTTACAAAACGCATGATTATTAGATAAACTTACTTAGATAATTGAATTGTGTAAATTTATACATATTTATGTAGCTGACTAAAATTCTTGGTCATTTTGACCTTAAGATAAACAAACACGAAGGGAGAATAGTCTTAAGAGAGAATTGCGCCATATTGGAGTAATCAACCCTTCTGAGTACAGACGAAATCGCGGTTAAATCTAGTTATATTTATCTTGGAGGCCAATGACTATTTCTCTATGTTCTTGACATTGCTATGAAATATTTGTCAACGTCGTAAATGGGGACATCATAAAAATATATGAGTATTTTAATGTTACTTTACCGTTTTATTTCTATCAAATAAAATAAAAATATTTTTATTGTAGTACTAGTTACTAATATTATAAATGCGAAAGTAAGTATGGATGTTTGTAAGTATCAAGTGAACGGATATCCATGAAATTTGGCAGACATAGAGCATTGTCTGGAAGAACACATAGGCTACTTGCTTTTATTTTTTTAATTCCACGCGTTGTTGCTGACAAAAATCAAATAAAAAATACAGATTATGTATGTATGAAGTTGTTTTCTTGCTAAAAAATAATTCTACAAGAACCTTATTTTCTTAGAAAACTTCAAATTCCTCATAATAGTTTTGTTATAACAGTTTTCATTTCAGTAAATAATTTTTCAAACGCCATTTCTCGTCAAATTAAAGCAAATTTTAGATACAGTTTATTTATTTATGTTAAACGAAATTTAAAAATGAGATTTATTACTGTGTTACGAGAATTTAAATTCATTAGCGAGGATATATTTACGTTTCGGTTGAGGTTAATGACATCAGACGGCAATGCGGAAAGGAATGTAAACTTTCGTATAATCTAACTAGAATATTATAAATATTAAAAAATAGCATAATGGTGTCGCACTATCGTTTGTTAATTAAACAGTCCTTAAGGTCTAATATGTCACACTAATTTTACACTAAGGTTCCTTTATAACGTTCTAGCTTTCGCACATTACTCCGTCCGCGTGGAATCAAAAAAATAAAACTGAATACCCTATGTGTTCTTCCAGACTATACTCTACATCTGTACCAAATTTCATCATAATCCGTTCAGCAGTTTAGGCTACAAACACTAACAAACATCCATCCATCGATCTTAACTTTTGCATTGATAATATAAATTTGAAATAGTAATATGATTATTCTCTATTATTATTATTATTCTATGATTATTATTTTATTATGAAACAATTTATATTAAATAACCAAAGTTAATCGCCTACCATTTACGATGTGTGGGGATTTAAAGGGAGAGCAGGGGACACAAAAATGTGTATATTTCTTCACGTAATCTACATCCCTTTCCCATCTGTTCTTTAAAGGGGGAGGTAAGTGGGTACGGAGTAATATTTCGGCCTATCTGTAGTGTTAAGTGTTAGTAATAACTCGTTGTTACAAGTAGAACGTACGGTTTTAACGTTGATTAAAAACCACGTTGTTTATAACATTACCCAGGTACAAGGTTTCCAAAGGGCGGAACTATCGTTATTATAACGAGCCGACGTAAAACATTTCACGGAACAAGCGCTCGGTAAACGTTAATGATTCGACACATTTTAGTTCAAACATATACTAGTTAATATTTAGTATGTACTTAAAATTGAGAAGCAAAAGGTTAGAGTGGTATGGACATGTTATGCGACGAAACGATGGGGACATAAACCAGAAAGTGTTGATTGAATGTGGACGGCTACAAAGGAAGAGGAAGACCGAAGAAAGTATGGATAGATTGTGTGAAAGAGGATATGCTTAAGAAAGGAGTGGATTCAGATATGACGGCTGATAGAGATGTATGGAAGAGCAGCACATACTGTGCCGACCCTCCGTATAGAATAAGGGCAAGTGCATTATGGATGATTTAGTATATACTTATTTATGTTAATTAGCTTTCGCCCGCGACTCCGTCTGCGTGTAATTAAAAAAAAAACAAATGTACTACCCGTCTACGTTTATGCCCAAAATTCATCAGGATCCGTTCAGCTGCTTAGACTACAAAATGTAACAAACATCCATCTAGCTAAACTTTCGCATTTATAATATTAGTTAGAAGTAAGATTACGCGCGAAATGTCAGTATAATTTAGGCGTAACGTCAATATTGGCGGGAAAGCGCATTCCGCCATGTTGTAAAATGTAATGACAGAAATCGCGCGAATTCGTTTTATTGATAATCCAAAATGCCATAATAAAACTGCCTTATATATTTATCTCTTTCTCTCTTTTGGGTTCTGTTAACTATTTTCTGAGATAGAAAACTCAATGTAGCTTCGTATCAGAGTGGATTAAACAGTTTTTAACTACACATTGCGTCGGTATTTGAGATGATTTTCGCGCTGTTGAATCTTTATTGAGTCATATTCAAATTGGGTCACTTACTCAACCTGTGCTCTGTGAATCATGATTGGATTTGAAGAGTTTATCTTGTTACTAGCTGTTTCTCGCGACTTCGTCTACTTGAAATTAAGCCTGTGTTACTCAGTGATAACATAGCTTTTTAATGGTGTAAGAATTTTTGAAATCGACCCAGTAGTTTTTGAGTTGTCTCAATATAGAAATAGACCCCCACGCGATTTTGAGATAAACTATATAAATACGTCGTAGTCTTTGACTCCAAAAATCAAAAAAAAAATGGGACCCACCTGCAAGCATTACCTTTCGGATAAAAAAAGAATTATCAAAATCGGTCCACTAGCGGCGGAATTATGCCGTAACACACATAAAAACATGCAGACGAATTGAGTACCTTCTTCTTTTGGGAAGTCGGTCAAAAATATTTTTTTTATAATGTCATGCGGATAAAGCCTTACTGGTACAGAAGGTATATTTCTCATTTATTCATTCGTAAATTATCATAGTTTTGTGTACATGAAACTTAGTAAGATTTAAAACGTACTGAAACATTACTCAACTTTCTGAAATGTATTTATAACTCCACGATTTCGAAGCGAATTTTGATGGTGTAGTAAAATTTCTTCAAACAACATACTTATATGCTGATTTGTGTTCATATTCCTTGAAGATCGTACGTTATAATGTAAATACATTAGAATTTATTTGCTTAAATAGTAATTTGTGAAATATTTAGAGCGCGTACACCATTGATAAAACTATCGCACAACTGTTTAGTCGCGCTTTGATTCCTATCAGCTTATATGTGGCCACACTACTCGATTTTTAGTTGTCCAACTAAACAGTTGAATTGTCTGCGAAACAATCGACAATCGCACAAAGAAGTCGACCTAATTTCATTGTGAGCGTCAAATACCATTTCATCTAAATGTATAGGAAATAAATGTCCTTGAAAAAGGGACTCTAAACTAACCGAGTTTATATTATACATGAAAATAGTACAAGCTACATTTATGGCATGTTTCTATAAGCATTGAAAGAAAAGTGAACAAGAAAATTGCCTTTCTTTGACACTTTTTTTACATTATAAAACAAACGAGCAAACGGCCACCTGAATCTGCCGAAATGGCGAAGCCACCGCTAACCATAGACTTACTCAATTGCAGATTACCTGCCCTTAATCGACGGGATAGGAAACGCACATAAAGAGGATATTTCCCCTTTATATGCTTCTCCTCCGCCGTCAAATTCATCCTTACTTCTTAAGGTAAGGGTGGAATGAAAAAGGGACTAAAATTAGGCCTCCGGCACCACACTTGTCGGATTAAATGCGGAATTCCACTTCACGCCTGTCTTGTGTGTGGTCGTGGTATTGCAGGGGGCGAGCCGACCCATTCGTGCGAAGATGTTAAAGCGGGCTCCACCACTGTTAGACATACACAGATATCATATGCGGTTACCATACTCTGAGCGTTTTGACATAGAGTTGTACAGAAATCTTGGCATCATTCAAGCAATTAGTCACTGTAGACATTATGTTTATTGGCAGTAGAGTTTGTAAAGATCGTAAAAGTTGATCGAAAATTGTTTCCCGATTTTTATTGCATTCGTCATGTGATTGCTGTGTTTATAAATACATCGTTGTTTTGTGCCAGAGTGAATCACAATCGTTTAATTTAGTGTGTGAACTGCAATTGGTTAGTAAATATTTATATTCAGTCATGTTTTATGTATGTTCGCTTTATGGTTTAGGGAAGGCTTATGTCGAACAGTGGGCAAAGGCTAATTGCATTGATACCCAAGTAATGACCAATCTTTTTATGCAGATCAGTGAGAATAATTCGTTTCTGACTTTGTGTGGCGCTAGTGAGTTTATATAATTTAATTTTACTTATCCAATTAATAACACAAGTATAACTGTTTACATACTATTAAACTATTATTACATAGTATTTCTTTGTATAATTATAAAACGTTAAAGAATTTTGTCATCGCCGATATAAATTATAATTCATCGTAAATACTGTTTTTGAAGCAGTAAATATTCAGAAAACTCGCGTGCACATATCAATGTCTGTCAGATTGTTACTAATATTAATGGTCGGTATTTGCTTGGAGCAACGCACGCAAGTCTATGACGTGAAACTATCTTAGAGCGGGCGCCTTTGACTA